AGTATCGTTTGATGCTTTAAAAAAAAAATTACTTTTGCACCAATATTATAATGTATTGACTTCTCAAAGGTATTTTTTATGAGAATAGATGTATCAGACTTTGCCTTGGCTACAGTATTATGGCAAATGAGAGTAGATGAAAAACTACATTGAATAACTTTTTATTCCAAAAATATTTTAGCAATTAAGATTAATTATGAAATCCACAACAAAGAATTCTTTGTAACTATGGATTCATTTCAAGAATGATACTATTATTTATAAGGTACTTCAAGTCTAGTTACAATATATAGATCATAAGAACCTCAAGTATTTCACATCAGTACATAATTTAAATTATTGTCAAGTTTGTTGGAACATGAATTTATTAAGATTTGATTTTAAGATTATTTATTGATCAAAAAAAAATAACAAGATTTATTGGATATTCTTTTTAAAGATTCTTATCTTATATTAAAAGAAAGAAATGCATCTTTTGATCAACAAAGAATAATTTTCTTAAAGCTAGAGTATTTTTACATTTAAGAAATAAAATCAACATTAACTATTAATTCAACCTTTGTCAAGAAAATTCAATCAAGTATGTCCTCTAATCTTTTTATCAATGATATTAAGAAGAATTCTTCTAAGTCTCATGATACTTCCAAGTTTGATTTTAAAAAAATCTATTATATTTTGAAAGAAAATTATACATTCATAAAGGTAGGGCACAATTATGTGTTCATTAAACTTGTCATGACTTTTCAACACTTGGACAATTGAGATACAACAAGATTTTGGAGCTAATATTGAAAAATTTCTTGTGGCTTTAAATGTGAAAGGCAGTCAAAGACTTTTTACAATCATGTGATATTTATTCAAGATTTAAAACTCCTTGCCATTGACCTTATGGACTTCTTCAGCCATTACCTATTCCAAAACAATGATGATCTTCTATTTCTATAGATTTTATTATGTATCTTTTAGTCTCATGTTCATATGATTTTATATTTATAGTAGTAGATTATTTTATTAAGATGGCAGATTTTGTACCATATATAAAATCTATTATAAATAAAGAAACGGCTAAGCTTTTTCTTAATAATATCTATTGCTATCATGGATTGCTTAAAGATATTATATTAGATAGAAGGACTCAATTTATATCAAGATTTTAAAAAACTCTTTTCAAGATTTTAAAGATGGATATAAAACTTTCTTTGACTTTTCATCCTCAAATTGATGGGCAAACAAAATGGATGAATCAAATTTTAAAGCACTACTTCAAGTGTACCATCAACTATCATGAAGATGATTGGACATCTCTTTTACTATTGGTAGAGTTTGCATTTAATAATTTGTTACATTCTTCTAGTCAAAAAATAATTTTTTTTACTAATTATGCTTATCATCCATAACTTGATAATTTTGACTTTTCAAAAGTTGATAATTCTATGGCAAAAGATTTGGCAATTCATTTGTCATAGCTACATGCAACATTGTAGGTGTAATTAAAGAAAGCTCAAGAAAGTCAAAAGATTAATGTAGATGCCTATTACAAGGAATAACTACAATTCAACGTAGGTGACAATGTATAATTATTTCATTGCAATATCAAGACTATCCATCCTTGTCATAAGTTGGATTACCATAGGCTTAAACCTCTTCCTATTATTGAACAGGTCAATCTTGTTGTTTATTGATTATATCTAGCAAAGTCTATGAAGATCTACCTTGTATTTCATATATCTCCTCTTAAGTCATATAAGATGGTCAATATTTTGAAAAGAAGATAAATGCCACCTCCTCATATAAAAGTGGAAAATAATAAAAAATTCGAGGTAGAAGAAGTAAAAACAACTCTTGACTGTATTTTTAATGTTTTATTTGAAAGAAGTTATAATAGGCCCAATAACAATTAAATAATAGGATGATCTTTTTGCTTTGGTATAAGATACTATTGATAGCTAAGAGGACCTATCAACCATCTTTGAAGAAAACAAAGATCAAAGTATATAACAAATAAAATTTGCCACATCTTAGATTTTATTAACACATGATCATCGCTCTTTGTAGGACTTGTCTTTAGAAGGGTGGATAATGTCATAGATATATAAACATTCTTTAATAAATATCTACATCATTAGGTAGAAATATATAAAATTAAATAAAAGTAGATTAATTTCATAATATCTTTTAAAGAAGCTTCTTAGAACCTTCATAGATGCTACTTTGACTTAGCATATATTTGTAGTTGATTGATAGGCTAAAAACTTAGTCAACAAGTTAACCACATGTTGATAGCTTACAGAACAAGTTAACTATATGGCATACATATAGAAAACTTATTTTACAAGTTAAGATATGTGTCTTGTAAATTCATTATGTTTTGAAGGTTCTATAGGATATCGCCACATAGTTCTTAGTTAAGAGTATATATAGAGGCAAGAATGAAGCCTTCTTCACTCTTGTCAATGCCTTTCTAGTCATTAACGTTCTTTTTAGACTTTTTAGTCTTCTTGTTTTTGGCAATAGCCATTCTAGTTCAATAATATATCAACTTTGAGTGACTTTCTAGTTCTTTTCAGTGTCACAAGAGTGTATTGAGGATTTATTTCTTTGAAATTCATGTCCTTGATAAGATGTTGAATGAAAGGCAATATAAGAATCTCTTCAACAACTTTTCAAAAGATCTTGAAACAATTCAAACTATCATTGGTGGTTCTTATTTTCATATGTTTGAGAAAGCAAAAATATTTGTTCAAAATTACATACAAAGTAAGAACCTTGATTGAAGAGTGTTGCAAGGAAGATTGGTTAAAAGATGCAATAATGCAAATCAATGATAAAAAAAAAGCTTTTAGAGAACTTTTTATGGATTTAAATTGTTTTTTTGACACCATATATAGCATTTCTTAATATTATTATCTTGATGAATGTAAAAAGTTCATTGAGATGAAAAGATTTCCACATTTTTCTCAACATGTATTGCTGAAGTTGTTCAAGATATGTTCTTAGAAAAGAAGTTTCTTAAGATTGCTTAATATTGAAGCAACAAAGAAATTATTCAAAGAGAATCCTAAGATGACTTTGAGGCAAAGCCTTCTACAAGAAGCTATTTAGAAACTTCCTAAATCCTAGTATATATAGGTGTTGATATTGAAGAGTTTTTCAATCTCAATAATACATGTCTTGTGGTCTAACTTGGATCTTCTAGACTTATTTTTATTTGATATTGCATTGTTTAGCAATTATCTTTTTATAGTTTTGCATAGTCTTTGATTTTTTTTTGTGATACTAGCCTCTAATACTACCACCCAACTAATACCAATGCTTGTAAAGAGCTCCACAAGGGTAATATCTTAATTTGGTGGATGCTAATGAAAAGAGTGAACAAAGGCAAGTAACAATAAATGATTTGATATCTATAAAAAATCCAATGAAGATACGATCACTTAGTATTAATAAAATACTTGTCCATGTGCTTTCTTTAGAAAAAATAGATCCTTACAATGTCTTGAATGAATTTCCAATGATGGTGAATTATGTGATCGTACAGAATTAAACATAAATGCTAATGTCTCTTCCAATTGAATTGGTCTACAAAACAAGTCTAATGCCAATGTACTATTATCAAATAGGATTTTTACCAACATAATTATAGTAGTTGCTATAAATGTGATAAAAATAAATTCCTTTCTTTCATCAAAACGTATTTAGTTTTTTAGTAGAAAAAAGAATATATATATATATATATATATATATATATCTAATATTTTTTAATTTTTTTCTATTTTTACATTGAAGCAAACTCACTACAAAATATAGCTTAAAAGGCCTTTAGATAGATGGGGCTTATATAAAATTACTAAAAATTTGTACAACAAATCAAAACAGTATGCTAAATCTTAACAAACTTCATATACAAATTTATTAATAATTTAATGTAATATTTCTACCAAGATAGTTTAGTAGAAGATTCTTGCATGTCAATTTACATTGAAAGATTGCAATTTTTTGTTGTACATTCACAACATAATTATACAAGATTCTTGATGCAAATTACCAAATTACCAAGTATCTTAAAAAAATTTAGATACTTCCTAAAATGTGTTAAAAATACCTTATAGGAGATACAAAAACATTAGTATAGATTATGATTTTCAAATAATTTTCTAGAAGTGATTTATATAAATTAGTATAAATATTTTTTTCATTTGTAAATTGACAAAACAAAGATCTATAAACTATAGAATATATGGATCATGAGATTTAATTCTCTCTCTCTCTCTCTCTCTCTATATATATATATATATATATATATATATCTTTTTTAATATATGATTTGATATGTGTGGATTCTTTCAAGAATATATATTCAAATATATTAGTTTTTTTAAAATATATGTTAGAAAAGAATTTTTAATATATATGTACATGAACAAATTCTATAATACCACAATCAAGCATATTCATTTAACACATCTGATGCCAAATTGCACCAGGATTACGATTCATCAAACACAACCCATCACCGCTGTTTGATTTGCGTGCCCTAAACAAGCACCAAATTCTGCAACTCACGCCGCTCATGACACCCCTTCACATCATGGCGTTGGGTTTGCACCCAAAAGCCAAAGATTTAGGGTTTCGTGGGCACGAAGTGAAACGAGTGATGACACCACACACAAAACAAAACAAAAACAAAGGGAACGGAGCTGCACATGCAGCGGCGAGACGGACCCACCACCACTATCACCACCACCACTATCACCACCACCACGCCGGAATATGGTCACCAGGGGACGGCACCACTTGCACGTCGGAATCCTCTGAGGGATCATGAGGTGGGTGGGGCACACACAAACACATACTCTCGATCTATCTTAACTCTTGCACGCAGGCACGTAGGTGCTGTGGCTCATCGCATCGCATCACATCGCAGCGCATTGTAACCCAGGGGGGTTAAGGAAGCTTTTATCGCATCGGAGAAGCACCCATGTCGAGACCTGGCACCATGCTCGTCGATCGCATGGCCCACCGCGAAGGTTAATCCGAGGTGAAACCCGAAGCAGTCGCTTCCGCCTCGAACCTGGCGCTCGATCCACCCTAAAAACCTCATTTCGTCGTCGGCTTGGTCGATCCCCATCCTCCGCCTCCATGCTCCAAATGGGGAGATCCTTTACTGTGCATCCTTAATTTGGATGCGAATCTTTGTTTCCCTTTCATTGGGCGCCTCGTTTTGTTCTGGTTTCTTTTCCCTCCCGTAACCCTTCCACTTCCTGATTTGGTTGTTTGTTTGTTTCCTCGTCGATGCTTTTGATCCCGACCTCGTTTGTTCGTTCGTCGGTTTGAGTTCCTTGCTCCAGCATTCTACTTTCCATTTCGATCCCTCAGTGTCTTTCTGCGAAGTGGTGATCCTGATACTGTATTGACGAGGAGTTCGTTTGGAACTTTGGCGTTTCGGAAGCTCAGGTTGGTCCATGGTCGTGCAATTGATGAGTAGAATGCGTAGCAGTAGCAGGTTATCATGCTAGGCGCGTAGAACCGAGCGATACAGTTGCTGCTATCACTCATCAGGAGTACTAGCGATTGATCTTTCAGGTCAATGTTGTTAGCTTCTTCGCACAGTCGTCCCAACGTTAATCCGACGCAGCTTTTCTAGTGGAATGCGGCTTCAGCGCGGCATCCTCATGATCTCGTATATTAATCCTCGTAAGACTCAATTCCAGATGCACTTAGACGTATTTCAATTCTAATCATAGCTACTGCACGAGTAATGCTTCTTGAATCCACTCGCCAGCAGTCTGAGTTGATCCCTCGGGTCTCGTACTTGCATTGTAACGCAGTGCAATTGTGCAAGCTCTCCGTTTCACACTAGGACCTCGCATTGACAGCCTTGGGATTCTGTCTAAATTTCGAGAGTGCTTCACGCCAATACTTGACCACCGCTCAGGCTGTGAGAACTGTCCAGGCGAAACGCTCTTGGTCACCATTCTATCGTCCTTTAAAGAATATCCAAACGAACTCCTCGTTATCTCGTCGATAGAGATCTGCCAGTGTGCTTCCCAACTTCTAAGAATATTTTACTGATGTGTGACATAGACCCAAACAACGGAAACAACCAACTAATTTACCCGCAATCTCCTTGATTTAGCTTGGGCTGGGTCAGGAGGTAATTTTAATCATTTATGAGTTTAAGGTGTAGCTTTGGTGTGTCGTGAAAGGGAGATCAAAGGTTTATACCATTGATCTATCGTCAAACAGAATAAAGTTCTAGTGTATACCTCAAAGCGGCTCGTTGTTTCTTCAGGCAAGAGCTTCTTCTATAGGACATGACTCATATCCAAGCAGCCGAAACGGATAGTGAGCTGTGATGCAGTTGTGCTGGCGTGAACCAGAATCTGAACAGCAAAAGAGAATAATCGGGTTATACAGAATTAGCGGTCACAGCTGAAGAGAATTCGCTCTGGTTATGGACGACGAAAATGATGCTATTGCAAGCAGGCTTTTAAAAGCTGGCGGGTGTGAAACCAGAATACCAGTGAAGCCGTCAGTGAGTTGGATGTTGGCGGGGGAGAATTGTGAGGTGTGTCTCACGCAGCTCTTCTGTAATCGGTAACTTAGTACAACTGTTGCGCATCTACTCAATTTTGTTTGTAAATCTTAGTGAAGCCATCCCTGTCGTTATTTTATTTGGAATCAATTGTCACCTCTTGTGCATCCAGCGTGAAGTAATGTATACTTAGTATTAATTCTAGCTTCTGGTCTTTGCTATCTTCAGGGTGAAGCAGACTTACTGTGTGAGTTGCTCTCAATGGGAGAAGATGTTGTCGGATTCCGCAGATTTGGACGGTAAAGACCAGCTTGAAACGCCGTCCTCTATCGGAATTAGCAAGTCCTCATCAGAGTATATTGTCAACATCGGAGAAAACTTCAAGGATATTCTTAGAGCTGATGTTGGCAGCACAAGGTCGAGGGGTGGATCATCCTCTCTCAGCATGCTGCAGCAGAAATTTTTCTGCTCAGTTCCTTCGATTGTAGACAACGAATCAGGCCCCATCAATGCTTGCCTCTGGGATGAGGATTTTAGTGACAAGATGAACTCGATTCAGAAGTTTAACATTTCCAGACAGGATTCGAGATGCGATGCTGAGAGGGACTCTCCACGAGCAGTGCTGGAGGGTCCATTTTCGAGTGGATCGCCTAATTTTTCCAGGAAAAGTGTATTGAATTCAACTTTTGACGTTGAGAACTTAAGTGACCACACTGGCTTGACACAATCCACCCAGAAGCATTGTATTCAAAGCCTGTGGAGATCTTTCGCGACTAGAAAGTGGCAGTCGTTTCCGACGTCGTATCGTAAGAAAGATCTGTCGATTTCGGATCCCGTGTTGCAAAATCCTCAGGCACAGGCAGAGCCTCTGTTCCAAGAGTGTGTGGATGATTTTCTTAGCACATCTTGTAGCATCCGAAGGGCTTGGCAGACTTTCTCGTATGATGATATTTCTCTTGCAACTAACAACTTCGGTCCAGGTGTGCACATGAGCTCCTCCCAACATATCTTACGAAACTTTCATGTTTTTTTCAAATGAAAATACGAATGCCAAGCTGAATTTGATTCATTGAACGAACAGCTACGTTACGTTAGGCGATTGAATCATGCAATATTTACTGCAGAGAATCTAGTTGGCGAAGGTGGATTTGCGAAGGTGTACAAGGGAATGCTTAAAAACGGTCAGCTGATTGCAGTGAAGAAACTCAATCGCGGTGGTACTCCAGCAGAAAAGGAAAGAGGCTTTCTAATTGAATTGGGCATTGTCAGCCACGTATCCCATATAAACGTTGCAAAAATCTTGGGCATCTGTATAGAAAACGGTTTACACCTAATATTTCAATTGTCTACTCTGGGCAGTCTCCAGCCGCTTCTTCACTGTAAGTGTATCTGTTCTGCGACAAAATTTCATTCACAACTTTATTTCTTGTAGGCTGGGTGCTTTTATAAGTCCTTAATTATTCATAACTAAGAATTGCTTAGCAACAGTAAGATGTTCACGTTATAGCCGATTTCAATGTGGTGACTGAAATGCATGAGTTGACTTTCCAGCTTCGAATTCCCCAGGTCTTACGTGGGAAACGAGAAAGAAGGTTGCACTGGGCGTAGCAAGAGGATTGCATTACCTCCATGAGCAGTGCCAAAGGCGGATCATCCACCGCGACATCAAGGCGTCAAACATATTATTGGACTCTAATTTTGAGCCCCAGGTTGGTACAAATCGCAACATGCTCGCTAATTTCAGCTTCATTGTTAAATTCGCAAAGTGGAGCCTGCCATCTATTTCATCTGGGTAATATTCGTTCAACTCCTGTGGTACGCAGATATCAGATTTCGGTCTGTCAAAATGGCTTCCAGATAGATGTTCACATCATACTGTTCTTCCCATAGAAGGAACCTTTGGGTATGTCACTATCCTCGCGTTTATGCACAACGAGCCCAAAGATTGTCTGACCTGTACTCTGGAATTAATAGATCATAGGATGCTCATTTATGCCATCAGCTTGTATTATTGCTAAATGTACAAGTCTACTCTCTTACCTGTCACCTTAGTTCACAATAAAATGAACATAATTTCCTAAGGAAATGACATCTTTCTACATCTTATTGACGTTGAAACGTCGTCATATCCACTGGGTTCTGACTAGTTTTAAAAACTTGACCTAACTCAATGAAAAACGAATGTGTAGGTACTTAGCATCTGAGTACTTCCTTCATGGACGAGTGGATGAGAAGACGGATGTATTCGCTTACGGCGTGTTGCTCCTTGAGCTTATAACTGGCCGTCGACCTGTGGATTCTGAAAAGCAAAATCTTGTTATATGGGTGGGTGAGAATTTTCGGTGCTTTTTGTCACACTAGGTCAGTTCGTCCTCAATCACATGATATTGTCCTACTACTCAAGGAATTGATCGAAGTGCTTACTTTTAAGCCAAATTGGCCTGCATGCTAAAGCTGCTGCAGGGCTAATGCAGTAAAACATATGAGGGGGTTCTTCTCAAGTCCTATCGTAGTGCTAATTCAAGCTCTCAATTGCGGACCACAGGCAAAACCATACCTGAGAAAGGGCAACGTCAAGCAGCTTGCAGACCAGCGTCTGGATGGCGAGTTTGATTCCGATCAAATGCACCGCCTGGTATTGATAGCAGGCCTGTGTGTCCGGCCATCACCCACTTCTCGCCCTTCGATGCGTCAGGTTGGTTCTACGCTTCGCCACAGGCCTCCAGAGTTAATCCTACCAGTACCACCCTCTTCAGAATTTTTCACTAACATCCATGACAACAACTTTTCGGACTAGTAGAGGTATTGTGTAGTCGACAAGGCAATTAGATGATAGCTCAAAACTGTTTCTGCTTCCGCACAAGTTGCAAAGCAACTGCGAGATGTTAAGAAACGTGGGTGGATTTCGTGGAATCACAGGTAGTGCAACTACTGTCGGAAGATGTGGCAGATAAGAAATCCGATCTCGTGTCAAGATCGTTTTCGCAATGGCATGACGTTGCATGCTCCGATGCCGACACCGAGGAGGAGTATGGTTCCACTGAGGATTACGAGACTGACATGCAACGGCATCGAGCTCTAGCTCTGGAATTCGAGTGACAGTGAACGAAGATCATCTCATATTTTGCATCGATCTTCACACCAGCACGAGTTCACTTAGACGTTCAGCCTAAAGAAACCCAATTCTAGGGCCTCCTATCTTGCAGCATTGAAGGTGGACTTCTCTTTTAATAATCAAAGGCCCAGAAATATGCAAGTTTGCAGTGGAAGCTCCAGTTTGTTTGCTAACGAAATTGCTTCTTTTGCATCTTTTCTTACAGGTCATCTGTATAACAAGCAGGCATAGATATATGGTATAATGCAAGACATAATTTTGTGTCGACGAATTAGATGCTGAGATTTAATGAGCAGAAAAACTAGAGGTTGACTGCTTGTTGGAAAATGGAGAGATTCAGTATTATGGCTGTAGACTGGTTTAGAATATCCAGTTTGTGAGATCCTCCTCTTCGAACATCCTTGCCACAAACCATCAGAGGGTGTTTTTTTCTTTCTTTTTTTTTTCTTTTTTCTTTTTTTTTTTTTTTTTTTTTTCTGTTAAATCGTTTTGAACGTGTCGAGGTGGACTTCAAGCATGCGATTCTTATCAACAGCTCCCAATGTGTTAAAAATGATTCTTCTACCATCGAAATAAGTATGGTTTACAATGTAGTAGGCATCAAAAACTAATCCAAGTCACTTGATTGAGTGTACTAGCATTGGTTATGATGTTGATATGATTAATGTTGATTTTAAATTTAATATATATATATATATATATATATATTTTGAAGCCATGTACAAGTTGCAATAGTACCTTCTTTTGAGTGATGAAAGCCTTCTAAAAGTATAAATTTATGGTGTACTTTTATTTGTTTAATGCTACTGTTCATTTGCTAAAATAAAATTGTAGATATTCAAAAAAATATGTTATTACTAATAAACAAAGAAATAAATGAATAAGTATTTATTTATTCTTATGCCTTGTCTTACAAAAAGAAGCTACAGTATAATACATGAAAACGTCAAAAGCCAAAATAAAAATACAAACAGCATAAACAAGATGATTGATTGATTGATTTATTTATTTATTGAAGTCACAGTAAGTCATAATGTTAATTGTAAGTTGGAAAATTGACCTGGCATAATGATCTTATGTTATAAATTAAAAAATATATATTTACTAGAAAGCATCTTTTGAAAAATTACTCTATTTTTCTACAATTTTTAAAATAAAATAAATAATCAATTTATATTTCTATAATTAATCAAATCAAGGATTATCAAATATTTTAAAAAAAAAATTTACACTAAAAAATGAATTATACTTGTATGTAATAGAATTATAGACTTGATATTTAATGCTTATCATAATAAGTAAAGTATTAAATCATTCTAATTTTACACAACATTTTGACATCTTATTGTAGTAGGTAGAGTTGGTGGTATTTAAAGACCACCAAATCTACCTACTACAATAACAAAAAAATAATATCAATATAAAAATGACCAATCATTGGTAAATAATATCTCATGAAGACCAATCACAAGGTGATAAAATCATCAAGGTGCAATCTTATAAAGATCAATCAAAAAACATCTTATATTGTATCTTCTACTTATAAAAAATAAAAATGAAAGGTGAGGATTATCTTATGCCAAATATTTTTTTATATGTGCACTTTCATATCTTGCTTGTATTTGTATTATTTTATATTGTATTTTCTTTATATTGACAAATTATGAAACAAATATTTTTCTTTTATTTCTAAAAATATATTTAAAAATTAAATTGACATTTATTTTATTTAATATATTTAATTTTAAATATTTTCCTTCTAAATCTTTTAAAAGATTTATACAACAATAATATGTTTTTTCTATTTTTTTAATAATAGATAGTTGTATCTTAAATTTATTTTTGATTTATAGCATTCAAATATTCATAATAATTTTACATACAAGTTAAAATTACATATGTATAAAAAATGAGTAAAAATAAAATCATATTTTATGAATATTTAAAATAACATCCATGTTTAATTAAGGTGTTATTACACTAAAAATATGAGTTGTTAAATCTTTCAAAGATAATTCAAAAAATATTATAAGCATCTATTAAATAGAATATCTACTATGTTATAAAAGATAGTATTTCATCTTCCTTCTTTATAAAGAAAAAGCTAAGAAAGTACATCCACCTTTCAAAAAAACTATTATAATTGTAGTTAATTATGTGGCAAGAAAAACTATTATAACATATATATATATATATGAAGAATATTCTATCTTTATAATAAAACTTCATGTAAGGTTTATTATAAAGAAGTTAATATATGTTAGCGGTCCTATTGAATATCACCACATAGCTCTTAATTAGATACTATATATAGTAGCAAGAGTGAAGCCGTTTTTACTCTTGACAATACCTTTTTAATCTTTAGTCTCGTTTCAAGTCTTTCTAGCCTTCTTGTCTTTGGCAATAGCCATTCTAGTTTAATATTATATCATCTTTGAGTGATTATTTAATATTTTTAAGATTCATATTAATTCTTCAAGATTCATATCTTTGACAATTTGACAAGAGTGCTAACTTAATATTCTTGTCTTGTTTTAGAAGTGAAAGGATTATGCCATTTCTATTAATTTATTCTAAAGACAATTTAAAACTAAACTCTTTGTAGCTAGATACCTAATATATTTCCAAATTATAAATCATGCCATATGACACCATAATATTATCTCCCTTTTTAAAGATGATTTTATCAGTAAAATATTTTATATTGTTTATACTTTATTAAATATAAAAGATTTTATCAATAGAACATATGTTAATATTGTTGCATTTATTTGTCTTTCATAACAAGAATATATCATATCTTAGAGTTTAGCCAATAAATTAAAACTAAACTCTCTGTAGCTAGATACCCAATATATTTTCAAATTATAAATCATGCCATACAACACCATAACATTATCTCTCTTTCTAAAGACGATTTCTATAAGGAGCAATCATTATCTTTCATACATCTTGTTTTATCTTCATCTTCATTTTGATGGATGTTATTGATAAAAAGCATGAAGCTTCTTTGTTATATTTATAAAATTCTTTATTAGCTCATATATGCATTCATTAATATCATATCCGTGCTAATGAACAAGACATTCCAATTTATTTTGGCATTATCTTAAGTTAAAGTTTTCTTCCACTTCAAACTCTATTATATTATCTACTTCTATCAAAGGAAGTAGAACTTGTCTTTTTCTTGATATATTCATTGTCTTATATGGTTCAAGAAAAGATATATGGAATGCAAGATAGAACTTCATTGTCCTTGATAGTTATAATCAATATGCAATTGAATTGATTTATTCATATATAGGAAAAGATTTAAGCCTACAATAGTTTAACTTGTTACAAAGATGAGTAGTCATGACATTGCAACAAAGTAATCATACCTTATTACCCATATTCAATTGAAGTTATTCCTTACAATAGACATCCGTTGTAGTGATGTAATACAATTATATAGTGAAACTATAATCAAAATTGAATTTCTAATTAATATCTAAATTATCTTAATTCAATAATAATTCAAGGTATCCAAACATGGCTTTTATAAAAGCCTCTTAAGTTATTTTCTTTTCTTAATAATTAGTAGGTTGAAGGTTGGTTAGTACTTTTACCTTCTAGGCCATAGAGACTCTTTTATTACCTTAGAAAGACCATAAATTGATAAAATCATATTAGAAGACATAAATAATTAATATGGTTGATACTAAGATTAAGTTGAGGGTAGGGTTGGGCTAAAAAACACTTAGGATAGGTTAAATTGATATCCGAAAGTCGACCGTTTGTAACATAGGGTCGAAATCAGACCTCTAGCCACTAAAATGACTGCCTAGGAAAAAATAGGTTTTCATTCAAATATTGGAGATTAAGATTTGAAAGTTAGCTTAAATTTCTTTCCAAAGGCATAAGGCTTATTTTTTTAGGATTTGTAAGGACTTAAAAATTATTATTCAAAGTCAAGATTTGTATTGGTGATTTGGATTTTATGTAATACAATTAGGGCTAGAACTTTTGGCTAATTTGTGCAATTAGTATAACATCTATAGTTCAAAATTTAGTATTTCCTAGATTGTTAGGTGTACCAAGTATATAAATTTTTTTGTAATAATTCAATGGTGCAATTGAGAAATATTTGGGTTTTGGTACAAAAATATATTAGAAGTTGGTAGTTTGGAGTTGGATAGGTTTTCTATAATATCTAGAGATCTATAAGTTGGATCAAGGCAAAATTTGGCATAGTATTGGAAGACTTGAAGATCAAGCTATATACTAATTTTGAATTAAAGTTAATTATTAGAGAAGGAGAAATCATTGCTGGAACTTCTATATCACCTTTCAAGTTGGCAATCAAGTGATATTAGTGTAGTTTTTGGAGATTTTTTTACAATTTGTAAGTTATATTGGACTGAAATTTCTTGAACATATAGAAAACTTACATTGATAATTGCATGCAAAATTTCACATCAAGTAGACAATCAAATTAGAAGTTATAGCTTCTCAAAGCTTACTGATTAGGATTAGGGCTTAGAAGAAAAATCTAAATTGCTTAAATATAAAAGTAAAAAGGTAATTGAGATTTATATATGATTGAGGCTATTAAGAAGAGTGTTTTTTATAATTTTTGAAATTTTGATTATATTCTTTTCATATGAATTAAAACTATTAGGGTTTCTTAGATACTTATGAAATACAACTTCACCTTCTATAGCTAGGTGTCCGGTGCATTTCCAAACAAGACAACATGTAATACGACACCACATTAATCTTTTGTTGTTCTTGAGATTTCTTTAACTATAGCTTCATTTTTGCATGTAACTTTGAAAAAAAAATTAAAATCTTCTTTCACAAGATTATGAACTTTTGAAAAGTCAAAAGTATCAAGTTATAGATGATAACCACAATTGGCAAAAAAAAGTGTTTGTTGAATAGAAGAATGTATCTAATTATTATATGTAAACTTTGTAAATGGTAAAAGAGTTGTTTAATCATCTTGATGATAGTTGATGGTACATCTTAAATATTACTCCAAAATTTAATTCACATATTCTGTTTGTCCATGAATTTCAATAACAATAATAAAAAAATAAAAAAAAATAAAAAAAAATCAAAGATAATTTTACATCCATCTTCAATATCTTAAAAAAGATTCTCTAAAATCTTGATACAAATTATATCTCTCTATCTAATATAATATCCTTTGGCATTCCATAATAGCTATAGATGAAGTTAAAGAAAAACTTAGCTATTTCTTTAATTGAAATAGATTTTGTATATGATAAAAAATGTGCTATTTTGATGAAGTAATCTACAATCACTAATATAGAGTCATATTAATTCAAAATTAGAGGATCCGTTATAAAGTCTATAAAAATAAAAAAATCATAATTATTTTGATATAGGCAATGATTGAAGAAGTCCATAGGATTGATGACAAGGAGTTTTTAACCTAAAACAAAAGTCACATGATTGTACAAAGTCTTTTACAACTTTTCTTATTTGTGGCTATCAAAAATCTTTAGATATTATCTCTAAAGTCTTGTTTTATCCAAAATGTCTTGCTGCTGGAAAGTCATGACAAGCTTAAAGAATACATAATTATATTTTGTCTTTTAGAATGTATAATTATTTTTCAAAATAGAATAAATTACTTTTAAACTTGAACTTAGAAGTATCATGAAACTTAGAAGAATTATTCTTAATATTATGAAGAAGAAAATCAAAGGACATACTTGATTGAACTTCCTTGAAAAAAATTGAATCAATGGTCAATGTTGATTTTATTGCTCCAAGGTGAAAATACTTTGGCTTCAAGAAAATTTTTCTTTATTAATCAAAAGTTACATCTCTTTTTTTTGGTGTAAGATAAGAATGTCTAGAAAGAATGTCTAAAAAATCTTATTATTTTTTGAATCATTAAGTAATCTTGAAATCAAAACTTAATAAAAATACACTCCAACATGCATGGCAATAATTCAAAGCATATGCTAATATGAAATATTTGGAGTTCTTGTAATTTGTATACATGATGACTAAATTCAAGGAACATTCTAAATAATGATATCATTCTTTAAATGAATCTATAATTACAAGAAGTACTTTATCATGGATCTTATATTTAATTTTGACTTTTGAAAAGTTTTTGGAATGAAAAGCTATAAGATGGAGCTTGTCATCTACTTCCATTTGTGACAAAATAATACTTATAGCAAAATTTGATGCTTCTAAGTTCAAGTTTGAAGAATGTCTTGAAAAAATTAACATAATATTAAATTAATATAGAAATAAATGTTATCTTCAAGGCTTCAAAAAATACTTCCATTTCTTTGTTATACTCAAGTTTGTCATTTTATATATAATGTATAAATAGAGCTAAAACTTAAAAAAAGTTCTTAATGAAGATCTTATAATAATTTGCAAATTCTAAAAAACATTGTACATCTTTAACTGTTTTTGAAATCTTTCAATCTATGATAGTTTGGATCTTTTTTGAATCTATCATTAATTCTTTCTTAGAAATGATGTATCCTAAAAAGTCAACTTGAATAGTGTAGAATACACACTTTTCCATCTTGTTATATAATCTTGTATTTTTAAGTTTTTGTAACATAGAACAAACATGAACTTTATATTTTTTTTTTGTATTCTTAGAATAGATTAGGATGTTGTCTAAATAATAGACAACAAAATTATCAAGAAACTTACAAAACATGTCATTCATGACATATTAAAAAATAGTTGGTGCATTTGAGAGTCTAAAAGGTATGACATTATATTCAAAATGTCCATATCTAGTTTAGAAAGCAGTCTTCTATTCATCTCCTTCTTTGATGCAAATTAGGTTATATACTCTTTATAGATCTTTTTTTTTTGTAGATCTTTGCTTGAATGAATTCATCGAGAAGTCCTAAAATCAGAAGTATGAGACACCTATTTTTGATAGTAATCTTATCAAATCTTCAATAATCTACAAACATCTATAGAGATTCATCTTTTTTCTTTACAAATAAGATAGGAATTCTTATTGGAGATTTTGAATAGTATATGAAGTTCTTAATCAAATTCTTATCAATGTAACTTTTTAGTATAGCCAACTTATTTTATAATAAACTATACATTGGTCCAAATGGTGGTTGAGTTCCTTCTTGCAAATCAATTGAACAATCATAGAATCAATGCTTTAAAAGAATATCTACATTCTTCTTTTCAAAAACTTCTTAGAAATCTTGATATTGGCTAAGAATATTACTTGATATCTTTTTACTATGAAAAATAGATATAGCATATATAACAAAAGATGATCCTTCTTTTATCGCATTCATGAAAGTTTTTATACCTACTAATAAGGATTTGGATGTATTAGACTTATATATTTCTACTTGATTAAGAAAATTTTGAATCAAATTATAAGAAAAGTTAAGGTTATAAGAAATCTAATCTATTTGAGGATTATACTTTTTTAATTATAATAATCTTAAAATAATTGGATTAAAAGAAGAACTTATTATATTAAATATTATTATATTATTATAATCTTTAATTTTTTCATCTAAAAGAACAATCTCATAGATAACATCTCTAAAAGATAATGAATGACCATTTATGATTTCTACATGTACAGATTTGATTTTTTTGATTAATAATATTTTTTATTTTTTGACAAAGTCTTTATCTATAAAATAGAATGAGGCATCCAAATCTAATAAGGCTAAGACTTTATGATTTTTTGGTCGTGAATAAATTTCTATTGTAAAATAAGATGAAAGATCTAAAGAGAAAATATAACCTTTAATATGTAATATGTAAGATTTCAATTGTACAATCCTTATTATAGCTAAAAAAAATTATTCATTCCAATCCATGTCACAAGCAAGATTTTAGAATTCAACAACATATGTAGTAGCTGAATGTGATCCTTGTTGTAGTAATACAAGTTTGATCTCTGCTATCTGTTTTCAATCACTTTTTCCAAATGTAGCTGTAAATACTTCTAAGAATGAATTCAAGTCATTGAATAGTTATAAATTTTTTTCCATCAAAGATGCAAACCAAGAAAGAGCATTTTTTGATAGAAATGTGCCTATGAATCCAACTTGAATAAATCCATAAGAGTATTAGAAAAGATGCAATCTCAAATACAACTTAACTTATTATATAAATCTTCAAAATTTTAATCTTGTTCCATCAAACTTCTCAAGCATGTTAATTCTCACCTCCTTTATCTTATAGAAGCAAGACTTCTTGGATTTGGTTGTGAAGTTGATCTACTTGCTTCCTTCAATTGTAAAACTTCTTTACATAGACTTTGGACTTCTTCCATATGTATAAGAATAGTACCTCTATGATTTAATTAGAAATATATAAGATTTTATTTTTAGAATGTTGATAAGCTTATAATGATTTGCAATAGTTGCAAATCTATTCTCACTTCTATTAAGAGTAGCATTTATAATCTTTCCTTCTATAGACAATTCAAACAACTTCTAAAAGCTAAATTAAAAGAAGGCAATGTGAAACCTCTAATATCAAATTAAAATTTCTACAAAAAAAGAGAATCTATTTTCTTTAAAAAAAAAAAAAAATGTTAAAAAATTAAATTCTTTGTTTAAAGGTGGGATCATCTATTCACTTCTAAAGTAAGTCAAGAACAATAACTTAGTACTTTTGTTAAATTATCAAAGACATGAATCTCAAAGAAAGAAATCCTCAATATTTTCATATGTTATTCAAAAAGACTAAGAAATCAGTCAAAGATGGTAATATATTAAATTAGAATGACTATTGCCAAAGATAAGAAGACTAGAAAGTCTTGAAACAAGTCTAAAGATTAGAAAGGCATTGACAAGAGTGAAGAAGGCTTCACTTTTGCCTCTATATAAACTTTTTAATTAGCACTTACGTAGTGATATTCTATAGGAGCTCCATATATGTTAAGACATATAATCATAACCATAGCATACAAGTTTGTATACAAAAAAGTAAAATATATCCATAAAATCACTTCAAAACATTCTAGCCTCATTTATTAGAAATGATTGTGGAAATGACAATCTATTATGTATTTATTGTGATTCTATATTTTCATGAATTTGATCAATTCAATGGATTTAAGCTCCAAAATTCTTTGATAAGTTTAATAAATCAATCACAATTTGAAGGTAATTCTAGTCTTCTACCATTTTCTATTCTTTTGAATATGTCATACCTCTTACAATTCTTAGATGGACCTCTTTTGAAAAGAATCTTAAAACAAACCATTGCAAATGAATACACGTCAAAATGACAAAATGTCATTCTTTGATATTTATTCTTCTTTACATCAAGACCCACATAAGTTGCACTATCATAAATTTGGATTGCTACCAACTTCAATTTTAGATATTCCATAATCAACCAGTTTTATGATAGAATGTTCAACAATCTTATTCATGACTTTTTTTTCAACATCATCACATTCTAAACATCACTACTCCATGACCCAACATGCAATGTGGAGTAACCATCCATTTCGTGCCATCCAAGTACTCACCCCATATCTTCATTGAAATTCTACCGACAGATGGTGAATTTCTGCCTGTTTTGGACACTCGTGCAATATCCAGGCTCTGGAGAAACAGTCAACGGCGTCCAAATCAGCAGAAGGAGTACTACAATACCAGAAAAAAAAAAAAAAAAAAAAAAAAAAAAAAAATGTTCGATGTGACCACTTTCCACCCCCAAAATTTATACATCCTATCCAATCCTTAGGCCATGACTTTGACTTGGAGATATATGTAAATCTAACTCATGCAATCAATCACTAGTAAAGAGGTCAACCTGCTTACGTTTCAATAATAATAATAATAATAATATAGAATAAAATGCTAAGGGTTTCACAGCAGGCCCCTGGCTCAGCAGACTCTAAATCCACGCAACTATTGACACAGGACAAACCCGCCCACCTCAAAGTTGGATCCAAACTAACCGTGTCGGTATTCACCGACAAGTGACTTCGATTGCATGCTGTGAACATCAGCAACCTCACGGAGTCCTGACTCGCCTCGGGAGATGCTCGAAGTGGCATGAGAAATCTCCCCACTCCCATCTCGAAGCATGTAACTCTGACGGTGTACCCCGGTAATGTTGCGAAATTGGCATGTGCTTTATGGTGTGAATACGGAGCAACTGGTCGTTTCCATCACTGTGGGTGGTTTGAGATTGGGGATGATGGTTTATCTAGCCATCTTTCCGTGAGAGATTCGCGTCGTGGGTCGTGTAAAGGCCGCAATCGACGATTGAGGATTCAGGTGACGAGACCCGTACTGCATAAACCCTAGACCGGGATTCATGGACTGACGTTGTGACAGAGCTAAGTCGAACGCCTACAATGCTATTGTCATCGTTCGTCAGTTTTAGTTCTAAATCTAGAAGTTGCCGTAGATGTATCGGAATTTGAGAAGGAGATTAATCAATCTCACAATCTGTTCATGGGAGTAGCACACACAGTCACTCGCAGTGCTCTTGATTGAAAATCGAAAGCACAGGGGCATGGAAACCGACTTCGTAAGGAAGGAATGATAACATTCCTGCTACTGTAGGTTCGTCATAAGGGAGCACCATACACATAATGTTGATTGTCAGGCCTTTCCAGCTCCCACGTGTCTCGAGTGCTCTTTTGGTTTGCTTCAATATATTCTTGAGGATATGTTAGGTTTGAGTTTTATATATTTGTGTGACTTGCCAGTGGAAAGTGTGTTTCGAAGTGCAGAAGGAGTGGGAGGGATGGCTCAACTGCGGCCTGTGGTGAATTCTATGGAGTCCATGTCCATCTCGAACGGAGCCACCGTGGAGACCAAGCCTCGGAAGGCTGAGTACCTGCCTATGCCTGCTGATCGCGCTACACGCACTCCTCACAGCGGGTAAGAGTGAATCAATCTTCTGTTTTAGAGCGTGCATGTAGGGCTGTATTCTATGTATGCAATTTTTCTGGGGTGTGAGGGTGAAGATGACAGTGACGGTGAGAGATAGAGAGGATAGAGGTCCGAGTTGTGTACGAATTCCTGAGAGAGACGATTAATGTCGAAGTGGATTTTCTTTAAGAGTTTAGAGGGGGTATACATTTGCTTCCTTTCTTTTTTTTGGTTGATAGACTTGAAATTTGGTACACTATAATTAATGCTCTGCAATAATTTTTCAGCCTGAGACTGTGCAAGCTTGGCCATTTCTTAACTCAATTGTTGGGCTTCCTTACTTGATGTGTTGCGAGAGCTTTGGTTGCACGCCTCCTCGATTGGGCTGAATCTTGTGCAGAATTGACTTTCTTTTCCGCTTTAACCGGCAATTTCGGTTTCGTTACCAGGTTGCTTAATCAAAAGTATACCTTGTCATACGAATTAGTCGTTATATGATGTACTCTGGTTGCGTGATTAGGGATCACTACTTGTTTGTCTTTAGAAACTAAATTTGTTGTGTCAGAATTGGGGTTTTTGGGTCATCGCGTTACCCTCATCTATTGGACATGGAGGAAGTGGTTATGTGATCAAATAGGAGTCTTGTGTAAGCACGCAAGTGTAAAATGGAGAGAGCAATCAGTCGAAGTTAAGGGAGTAGTGATTTTATTGCTGTAGGACGTAATAAAATTACACGAGTTCGGGAATTAGATTGATTTTGCGTGAACTGAAGTGTGCATTTTCACTGTTAGAAACCAAGAACCTGAGCTACACTGGTACGAACACATCAGAATATTCCAAGTTCCCTCTCCCTTGTGGGTTATCAATACAATCTTGAGATCTTTCCAATATCTGATCTTTTTGGATGAAATTTTTATGATTTTTAAGGATATGGAATGCAACGATTGCAATTTCATGATATATGATACTGAGTGATCCAGTAGAGTTGCTCGTCGTGTGGTTTTCGATATATATATATATATATATATATATATATGTGTGTGTGTGTGTGTGTGTGTGTGTGCGCGTGCAGTCCTGGTCTTAGTTTCAAATTTAAAACGTTAAAAGTCAGAAAATATTTACACTTAACTCCCACTTCATAGTTTAGATACTTGTAAAGTAGGATTAAATCAAATTTTGATTTTTTGTTACTCATGTTTCATGTAGCTAATTTTGTATCCTTTTATCTTTCTCAGTTATCATTTCGATGGCACGAGTCGTCGATTCTTCGAGGGTTGGTACTTCAAGGTCTCCATTCCGGAGGTGAAACAAAGTTTTGCTTGGATGTACACGAGTGAGCTCCCCGGGTCGTCGGAACTTACTGAAGGAGAAGTTTTCGACCCCTCATCTACACCATCAGGTGCTGCACAAGTTATGGGTGCTGATGAAGAGTACCTACTACAAGATGCACCGACACTCAAGAATTTCTGGGCAGGTCAGTTATAGTATTCACAGTTGAGAGACAATGTCACTCTGTTTCTTTTCTGCCGGTGCCGGGTTGAGATAACAGAACGTAGATATACGTAGCGTACAGTCTGTAAATTGGATGGACCATGTATTGTTGATAAATCCCTTGTCAACAAGAAGAAAAAGATTGCTTTAGATGTTTGGTAAATTTTATTCTTTATCATGAGTATGAATTTCGTGGTGTTGCAAAGTGCAGCCCGACATGAACTTGCCCTTGGTAATACCTATGTCTCTAAGAACGGAGTAGCTCCGCCCAAGTCCGAGGTTGACCCAAAGGTATGGTCTATCCAATTTGTATTTAAGAGGTCTCACTTATTGAGGCCAGGATACTCGATTCGGGAGAAACGTATTCTTCTCAGCGTTTGTAATGTAAGATGGGACGAGAACTTGTCAAAATCTCAATGTGTCACAGCCTTGAATGAACTATGCGAACATCAAATGCTCTCTGTCTAGTCACTAGACCTTAAATCTTTTAGAATTTCTTGATCCTGGTTCAGGATTTGAATTATGAGTTTTTATTAAAGCAGGAATTTTGGGATTCTGTGGAGGAAGGTTATCAAGTTACACCAATCTGGCATCAGGGGTGCTTACGTGACAATGGCAGGTCAGTTCCTTGATTCGTTGGCCACCGCTAATAGGGGATTTAAACTTATTTCTTACGCTAGACTAGTCTTATTAGTAAATGCCTCATTACCGAATTCAAAGTTCAATAGTCTAGTTTCTTGTGATTCTTCTCTCTTGAAACTGCTAGCAAATCATTCCCAGGAGGCGTAGTGAAGCGAAGTCTTTCTTGCCTACGATGACAAGCGTTTTCGGATTCTTACTTAACCTATGTTGACTGATATATTGCATTGGATTTTGCACTCAGCACCGATTTTGCGAAGACTGTGGGAACGGTTCGCTGGGAGTATAGTACCCGCCCCGTGTATGGGTGGGGCTCAATAGGAGAACGTCAATTGGCTACAGCGGGTTGGCTGGCAGTCATGCCTGTATTCGAACCACATTGGCAAATCTGCATGGCGGGTGGTTTGTCCACAGGTCTGCTCATTACTATTTCAGAAGACTCCGCATTCCAGCAAAAACTCTTAAGTGTGGAGGCTAAGCGTCTTGATTTAGAATGTGATCGCTGGAAATTATCACTTATTGTTGGCACTTGATACTTTGAAATGACTGATGCGGCTGCTGAGCTTATCTGTGTATCCCTCTTAATCAAAATAATCGAATGAGTTACAGATGTCTCTGGATAACAAACGAAGATTACGGAGTGCAGAAAAAGTTTGTTACCTTTTGTTTAGGATTCTTGTTATATTCTTGCCTTCTATTAGCAAACCTTTTTATTTTCTTTTTTTCCTCTTTTCCCTTTTTTCTTCATGTGTTGCGACACTCATCTTCACCTCTTAATTTGTCGTGTTGAAAATTGTGCAGGCTGGATTGAGTGGGGTGATCGACGCTTTGAGTTTGAGGATGCTCCTTCATACTGCGAAAAGAACTGGGGTGGTGCTTTTCCACAGAAGTGGTTTTGGGTATGCCGTTGATCTTGTCTACAGCTTGTGCCAGGATACTATTGTCTCCATTTTGGTAGCGCTGCTGCAGAGCGTTGAACATAACTTCATGTAGTTACTTATGTGTTTTACTTCACATTAGGAATGTAAATTATATGTCTGTCTATTTATGTGCGATCTATATCCCTTGCATAAAGCTGGGTTTTCTTCAGCTTTGCTCATACTTTGGGACGTAGACGTGGTCTTTGTCAGATGCAATGCAATGTGTTCGATGATTTCTCTGGTGAGGTTGCCCTTACAGCTGGTGGGGGTAGACGAGGACTTCCCCTTCTAAAAGATACGTTTGAGGACGTCGCTCTGGTGAGCTTAATTACAATGACTGAACATGAGAACATTCCGTATTTTAAGATCTTTTATGTTCCATGGCTATGCAATTTACAGATATTGAGCATGACTCGGGAAAGTCAATATAGTGATAACCAATTTTTATGAAAATTGAAGGAATCTGCTCTGACACGAAGTTGAAAATCCTACATTAATTAGTTTCACTGAATTTAAGTAAGCAATAGCAGGCACTTCGACACAACTTGAAGAATGTGCTGCAAGTTAAACTTACTAGAATTACTATCTTTTTGCAGGTAGCAGTACACTTCGAGGGAAAATTTTATGAGTTCGTTCCATGGGAGGGTAAGGTCGAGTGGGATATTGCCCCATGGGGATCGTGGAAAATGACAGCTCAAACCAAAACACATGAGGTATAGTCGGCATGCTTGTTTGACCGCCGTTGCATGTATGTACTGAAATTTGGTAGAGATATTTCCATCACTTCTAACGTGGGATTATTCACTGTGTAATCACTGGAATTGCTTTACTGTTAGCGAATTTTGATGTCTCTCCTTTTTCCACTTTTCACCTCTCGAAATCTCTCATAATCTGTTGAGGTCGGATTAAGTATTCAATGTGGATTTGGTTCTATTGTACAAAGTAGCAAGTGCCTCAAGAATTTCGTTTGCACCAGCACCATCACGACGATAGCTTCTATGAACATCACGAAAGGAAGAGGCTTTTTCTGCCGCTTTTTCACGTTGCTTCGTGTATATAATATCATTGTGAACTAATTCTTTACAAGCCGGTGGTAGCTAAAGACCACCTTTTTTGTTGGTTGGTATTAGCCGTTCTTCTGTGATAACCACAAAATGGAGTTTAGTCTTCTGGTTTGTTTGAACACTTTGATCCTTAGCTTTTCATTGACAATCTGACAGTGTTGCTATCGCGTTGCTTAGTACTATTGAAGTATTCTAGAATGACTTTAAAGATCTGTTGCTGCATATGTAGCAAAATTTCTATGATGCCTTCTTGAAGCTCTTGCATTATTGTGTCCTTGATGTTATTGAGACCAGAAATGACTACCTTTGTTTCGATACTTACAGTACCCATAACAGATAAAAAAAAAAAAGTGTACTAGTGTCCATGTGACCGATAATTCAATTATTAATAAAAATAAATTATGTATATCACGAACTATACAGATTGCATCACTCTGTAATTGGATTGATCAGGTGAAACTGGAAGCATCCACGGATACACCAGGTTGCCTTCTGCGCGCTCCGACTGTTGAAGGATTTAAGCCAATATGCACAGATTCGTTTGCTGGAAACTTGAAGCTTCAGCTTTGGGAACGTAATGCAAATGGTAGCCTCGGGAAGGTCAGTACATATAATCGCTTGATGTCAGTCTCGGTGCCCTTAGATGTGTCGTATACGTGTCGCCCTACTACCTAACAGGTTGTGAAGTAGTGAAAACGGCATTGGAGTTGCATATTTTAAGTCATGCATTATCTACAATGGTATGTTATTAGAGTGTGCAAGCATGTCCTAATTTGTATGATTGTTGGCATTCTCTTATGTTCGCATTCCTCCCAGGTTCTTTTGGAGGCCACAAGCAGCATGTGTGCGTTGGAGACTGGTGGTTCACGTGATCCTTGGAAAGAGTCTTGGACAGGAAAGGCGACGATGAGACAACCTCTGAAGACCTTGTTACAACTTCCGATCAACCCCGAGAAATTTTACAACTGGGTTCCTGGTTTCAAGCCACCCGGTTTTTGAAGTTGTTTTCTCTGGACGAGGCGTTTTCTACTTTTCAAATCGTCGCTATGCAGTCTTCTGCATGGACATTAGTACAGTTTCGATGAGATGAGCAATGCGCGTACCAGGTGGTCGTTTCTAATATTATGCATATATTTTCAACCTTCACTGGCAAGGATGTACTACCTTAAAGTCACTGGGACATATAGTATCTTCCGTTACCAGGTATACCAGAGTCTCATGTCGTTGCAGTGACCTTGAAGAAGGCACTTCAGTTACTGACTTGTAGCGAAATACAGTTCTCCTTGTGACTTATCCATTTTGTTAGTAATCGTGACGAACCATTTTGGACACCTCTGTGCAATTGCATGTAGAAAAATAAATCAAAAACGGCTGTTTGTGTTATAAAAGGTTGGGTGAGTTTTTGACTTCAAGTCCGAGAGTGATTGCAATGAAATAATTCTGTCACTTCGAGAACATGCTGTGGTACAAGTGAAAATAAGCACGTGTGTGTGCTAGACGTGTTAGTGACTGAAGTCTAGTCTTATTGACGGAGATTCATAATGGCAGTTTCTTCCAAACTGAAGCAAATTGGTAGACATCAGTTGCTGGACGTTACTATTACAAATCAAATAGCGTCAGCTTGTTCAGTGGCATTGTATGAGGTAACTTTGGGATGAAAGGTCACCAACAAGTCCCAGGGTGATTGGAACCCTTCCACACTGGCCGTTACGTCTCCTCAGCCTACCTGCTCCCGTCGGGTCTCCCTTCTTTTCTTCATCCCTTCTCAACAGTTTTTTCAGCTAAATCCTTAAGGCACGGTTGCTCTCAATGAGCTGCTCATCATGTTACTCTCCATTCATTCAACCCCAAGCTCTCCGGTGATACCCTTCACCTCAAACATCTTTAGGGTTCCGTCTTAACGTTTGAGATGAGGCACACTTCGAGTATTATTGTAGATTCTAAGACAACATTGCAACTCTTTATTCTTCTTTGATCCTGATTGACTCGTTCCCTCAAAATCCTTTCTTCACTACTTAAACCTCTGTCGTAAAACCATGGTCCGTTCGAGTAATTTGGATATGATAACTCTCCCCATTTGAGCAATCGAGTAGTTTCTTCAATTTGTTGCTGTACTGTCCCGCTAAATCCCATGTTTACGATCGTGACGAATCGGTCCCTTCCTAAATCTAGAGGCACGTACAAGTGGTTTGAAAATGCAGAGGATTGTAAAGCTGGTATAAAGAATGGATTTACAGTTTTCAGCCTAACTTGGTTGCAAACGAGAGGAATGAAGCAGTTGGATATGTAACTTTAATGATGGAAATAACGTATGTGGGAAGCTCATTGATCGTGATGCGGAATGGAACACGCAAATCCAGGTGTGTTTACACCTCACTGCATGCTTTATACTTCATAAATATAACTTGCAATTGTGCGAAACTTTCAGCGGAATTGCTCAATTGTTGCACCACAGCCAGATTCTCTAGCTCTTGTACGGGTGAACAGTTATGCAATTATTCACCAATTTCGTCAGATATATAATCAGGCTTAGGGTTCAAGGGCCAAGGAAGCCTTTTACCTGTTTGTTTACGCATAGCCACAACACATTGTTGTTCTGTATCGATTGAAGACAAGGTGAATTTGGTAGTGTCGTAGCAGAAACTTGCATTCATGAGACAATTCATTGAAATGTTCGAGGACAACATCAGATTGAGTGGTAGGGGCTGAGACCTTGAATCGTTCGATCACAACTTGCTGGTGGTCATACGATTCAAGAAGACGTTGCGATGGGTTCCCAGTGTGCTTTTTCAGGGTATTAAAGTTTAAACAACTGAAATGTTTGGACTTTGGCCTGACATCACAGAAATGAATCCACCTAAGATGGTGATCTTTGATCTTAGGTTTAAATGATTTGCTTTAGACAGATACTCCCTCTTCCGGCCATGGAGGTAAGGAAGGGCAAGTGATATCCCACTAGACGCGTTCAGAGGTTTCAGCATTGAATAATCCAGAGTCGTTGAAAATGCCTTGTCAACCAAACCGAGGTCCAGTCTGTTCGGCGACTTTTCAACCTAACTCCGACAACCTCCCTGCAACTGACTGTCTACCAAGGAAGGACAGTTGGCGGTGGCAAACCTCAAACTCTGAGTATGGGAAATTCTACGTTTTCGTAAACAGAGAGGTAGCAATCGCAGCTTCCAAGTCCGTCAAACTTGCTGACAGTGACTGTTCAGCCAAAATTGGGTCAATAAATTCATTAATTCCAGTTTCGAGTAGCACCATTTCTGTGCTGAATGTACAGCATAAAAAGTGTGCGTTGAGGTTGTCCTGTCTGTTGGTGACAAGGTTGTTGTTTGAAGTTATGTTGCTTTCCTATTTTCATTTTCTGGAACTTTAAACGGTTGAACTCGAGCAAGGAATTCCAGGTTTCCAAAAATAGAGAGGCCCACAAGGATTGCTTCAAGAAGGTTGAAAACTTGGCTGACGAGCTGAAATTAGCTAAAGCTCAGCTGGAAAAGCTTATGATCTCATGTGGTCGGAGCTTTAGCAGGCCTGGTACAGTTCCTCACTCACCTGAAGTCTCTGATTTCGTCAATCGGTCATACTGCTGGAACTTCGATTGTGATCTTCGGGGGCAAAAGTGTTGATTGATGTTGCTACTAGCAATCTAAATATGAAGCTCTAGACTTTTGAGTCATCGAGCCTGTGTGGTTGTGCAAGTGGTCGTTGACGGTCCAAAGTCCTGACAATTTCTTAATGAGACACAATTAGTCTTTGAGCCCAGCCTCCTTTGCATCGTTCTTGGTGTCATCAAATCCAACTACGATCCGCTACTCTCTGTTAAAAAAATGTAATTATAGGGTATCGCTTCTGGATGTTGACTTTACTGTGGTGTTGCAGAAGGGGACCGAGCTATGTCGTGTTCTTCGACGGCCAGATCGCCAAGTCAAGGAAGGTGCGAATGCCTAACCAAGCCAGGCCCGCCCACTGAAAGCATGTACGTCACGGAGCACATGAACCAGTACAATGGGGCGCTAAGACATGATCCTCAGCCGCTCATGGACCACATCAAAGAAGAACACCCACAACTTGTGAAGCGCGTGGCACCAAAGCTACCGACATCAGCGATTCGAAGGGTCATCGACAGCCCGTAAGATTGCCATGAATATAACTCTATTCAAATACAGGCTCCCATTCATTGAGTCAAAAGTGCATCCTTCTCAACGACCGCTTCACAGTGTTCAAACGACATAGAAGTTCCTACTACAGGAGGTTTTCGTTCCCTACAGCAACTCTATTGCTCTTGGTAGACTTAGCCAATTGCATCTCCCATGTAGGGCTTTGTTGAACATTGAACTGCAACTTTGTGAATGTATGTACTTCGTTTAGCTTCTCATCCAACCCCAATCCGAATTACCATAGAAACTCCAGCCTCTTGAAGGTTTCAGCATTGCAGTACAGACAGCAAATAATATTTGAAGAGGTTACTTTATGTGCAACTCAACTGTGTCTAATTTACAAGGTTCACATCAGCTTCGATGTGGTGGAATGTAATAGCTGCTTAGAAATCATGCTTTCATGAATACCGACCCTAGGTTGCGTAGTAAAAAACCGTCCTGGTGAGAGACCCACAAGGAACTTGGATTAGTTCATTCTTAAATCTTTGTGAATATCATATGCATTCTGTTTTTATGTAAGTATGCTTTCTGAAACTAGGCATCAAGCTGCTTGCTATGAACACGAACGTATGTGACAGCAGAGATAATGCTGACTTCGATGAAGACGCTGGATGCTGTCCGGGTAAAATGGGATGCGGATTGGGGTCGAGATGGAAGTCGAGGTCCGGGTCTCTCTCACCAGGAGATCGTTCTTCACCACGCCGCGGCGATTCTGCAGCTTACGCTGGCAAGCGGAAGATGCAATGGAGACAATCCCCTCCTCAGAAAAAGGCAAAAGGAGCCAAATCCGAAGCAGCCTCAGATTTAAAACACACTGCCGCAGGAGGAATAAACCTTCCTCCCAGTCAACGTTACAACTTCTACCGTCAATATGGTAATTACTAGGCTCCTCTACCTTTCTTCCATCAACGAAAACGTTCTCCATTCATTTACTGAAGGTGCAGTTTATGGTCCGAAATCTCATGATTGTGGTTGTGATTGTGAAGGTTACGCGGGACAAGGTGCCAAAACAAGCAAAGGATGGCACTCTGTGAAGACCCCCTGGTTGCACACTGGAGTACCGTATGGCTAATTCTTCACGTGCAACTGAAGTGGTACAAATCAGATAGCAAGCGATAGGACAACTCTCCAACTTTCTTCATTAGTGTGTGAGTTCAATGGATATGTGAATTATCAAGGACTACAGCAGCTCAATGTTACAAGACGCCACATGCAGCCACTGAGCTTGTAGATTTGTGTAGGACAGGTTTGTGAAAACGGTTTTACTTGTTGCATTTTAGTTAATTCGTACTTATAATTATGTGGTTTCAATGAACGCACCCCTTGACGATGCTGAAAGTCGCACTCTCAAACTTCCAACAGCTACACTGACAGGAATTTTTAGAGACGGCCTTGTGTGAAACAGATCGCTGATTGTGTCGCCACGTCCTTATCGGCTATGAAGCTCTTGCTAGATTAATGAACTTTGTAGCGTGGCTTACATCACATGCATCAGGTTTTGTACAGATTGAATTGCATACACAGATGTCCATGAGCCTCCGTTGCATTGCTGGGCCGGTACTCTTGTCACCAGTCAACTAGCTGGGACATAGACATAATAACAACCTTGTCTACTTGCAATTCATGTATAAAATCAGGTTAACAATTGCATTACAATTCCGGCGCAATCCTCTTTTCGTTTTCAGCCACAAATGATTAGCCGCAACATTACGAGATGAGAGTCAATCAATGGAAGAACACACCGACACAATTATTGTCACCGACACAAGTGAAAAATGCTAAGTAATCATTGGAAGAAAAAAATTGATGAATGTAAACTTGGTTAACTTTTTAATTGATGAATGTAAACTTGATTAATCCTATTTTAGTAAATAAAAAGAAACCAATAAAATTTATTAAAAAAAATAATAAGACAATATTACTCAAATAATAATAGAAGTGATAGAATAATAAAATAAATGGATACCAAAAAATAGAAATATTTCAATACATCACCTTTATTTATAAAAGAAAGAGATTCATATATATATATATATATATATATATATATTTAAAATATTCTTATACAATACATAGAAGAATTCTTCCACACAACTATTGGAAGTATAAGCATTGGATATATCTATAAGATCCATATAATAAACTAGTACTATACATATTGTGTCTATTCTCAAAAGATTATTTTGAATGTAGAATTATATCATCTAGAAGTAGATATTGTATCTATTCTCAAAAGATTGTTTTGAATGTAGAATTATATTATCTAGAAGTAGATAATGGTATAATTTGATTATTTTATAATCAATGTAATAAATTTTTATATAGTCTCTCCTAGATTTAAAACATTGCCAATTACTCAAATTCACAAAATTAATTCTTTGTTTCTATTCCCGACTTACATTCAACAGTCTATGCTCTTCACTATCAAGAAAAAGAATTCCGCTAATACATCCACAATGCTACATGAAGTTTGTTGAGAATATTTTAGAAAGTCATAAGAGTAGGTAGAAATAATGTGCATATATAGACACAAGTGAGTATATAAAACGAGAGAGAGCTTCTAAAAAAATTGTGTATTGATGTGATTGTTTTACATATATATAAAGAAAAGAGGAAAAGATGAACAGTTTCTCTCTACTACATTCTAAACATTGTAGCTATAATATTTATTGTAACTACAATGAATGTTATAGAGAGCCCCAACTATATTTAATGCTTTCAATACTCCTCTTTACTTGTCATAATATTTATATAACATAAAATTTGCATTGAATTATGATCTATATTTTTTTATAATCTTGCAAGATCAATAATTGTTACCTCATTAAAACCTTATGTAGAAAAATCTTATTACATTTAAGGACAAAAACCGTAGATGAAAGAAAAAGTGTACAACATTATTTTTCTTAATTATTTAAAGAATTTATTAACTTTCTTGCTTAAGAAAAGCACGTCATTGCATGCCAATACTATAAGTAAGTTCACAATGATTGTACAAAAGGAGAGCTTTAGTCAAAAGATCAAAAAGATTATTTATAGATTAAATTTTTTTAATCTTAAGTACTTGATTAATAAAAAAATTATGGATGTAACTAAAATATTTTAGATTATTATGCTTTGCTTTGTTACCTTTAATGAAACTAACTTACATTTGTGCATTACAAGCACTATTGTTTTCATGAAAAATACTTGAAGAATCATCATATGAAAGTCAACATGTTGTTTGAATGAATTTATCAATTAATTGCAACCAAATACATTCTTGAAATGCTTCATGTAAGGCAATAATTTTTGCATGGTTGGATGAAGTTACAGTTATAGTTTGTTTCATTGATTTTTATGATATTGCAGCTCTATATCTTAAGAATACATAGCCTATTTGAAATTTAGTTGTTGTAATATCAGATTTATATCCTACATCATAATATCCAATCAATTTTGGATTTACAAATCATGTATAATATATTTTTAAGTCTTTAGTATCTTTTAAATAATACAATAAGTATTTGATGCCATTCTAATATTGTAGTGTTGGACATGCACTATATCTTACAAAAATATTAATTGCAAATGCAATATCTAGACTTGTAGATGTGGCTAAATATAAAAGTGCTCCAATTGCTACAAGATATGGATATTGATCTCCCAAAATTTCTTCTTCCTCCTTGTAAAAATAGTATCGATCATCACTATTACAACCACATCCAATAATTGGTGTTGACAATGGATAAGCATCAATCATATTGAATTTCTACAAGATTTGTCTAATATATGTTAGTTGGTAGAAAAAAATGCTACAATCTCTAAAATGCTTAAATTGAAGATCAATGTAGAAAGTTGTTTTTCCTAGTATTTTCATCTCAAACTCATGGATAAGTAGGTTAATAGCTACGACATATACACATCTAATATCCACTAGATTAAAATCATCAATAGATACAGTGATGATCTCAAAACCAATTTTATCTTATTTGATAAACAAACAAGGAATTAATAGATCACTTACAAACTTATTTGTAATTAAATAATCTTAAAGATGTTGATATTACATGTATCCAAATTGTTTTAGACTACACAGGGTTTTATGTAATTTAATACTATAATATCGACATAAAGTAATTACATTTAGAATTTTTGTTTTTAAACTAGATGAAACTTTCATATAAATTTTTGTATCAAGAGAACTATATAAATATGTAATTACCACATCTATGAGATGCATCTCAAGCCTCGTATGGACTGCCATTCCAATAATATATTGAAATATAATTGAATCCATGACTAAAAAATATGTAGATTAATAATCAATGCCAAATTGTTGGATAAATCCTTAAGCAATAAGACAAGTTTTATAGTGGATTATTTTACCCTTAGCATCTTACTTGCATACTAATATCATTTGATATCCCATAGGACAAGATGTAAGAGTGTCCACAATTGGACCAAAGACTTTTCTCTTATATAAAGAAGTATATTCTTCTTTAATGGTATTTTTCTATTTTAACTAATTAAGGAGACAAATCTCTGCTTTGATAGTTTGAGATTTAGGATCCTCTTCCTCATAAGAAAGAGCTTCTATAATCATGCATGCAAATGACTCATCTATTGTAATAGATGGTCTATCTCAAATGTTGTTTATAGCACAATATAGAATAGATAATTTTGTATTCAGTTTGATTTTATTCTTCTTAATATCAAGATTTTCTATTGCATGAGGTGAAGATATAATTTGCATGGACATATCATCATTAATTGATAGTTCTATAGATTTAGTAGGAATTTCTACAAAAACAATACGAGAATCAGTACATGTTATAGCCTTCTTCTTATATGGTTGTTTATCTTTTTAGTTTTTGATGTTATAACCTGAGGTATATTAGTTAATGGTATTGCAATCTGAACAAGTGCATTTTGAGCCTCATTAATAGAAACTCTTGTAATCCAAGAAACATCATTGAAGCCATCAAGTATTTCATATACAATCCGTTTTAGATACAAAATATTAGCAACTTCAATTTTAGCCAAAGTTGTTTTAGGATCAAGATTCATTATAAATTTTTCTAATGCTCCAAATATAAGTATTATATTTCTTTATTGATTAAATACTACTTTTCAAAGAGATGAAAATATGTTTTCTTCAAAATAATAATTTTAAAAATATGCACGTAATAACGTGCTAGTTGATGGATAAAGAATACAAATAATACTTGATGAATCAAAACCAACTTATATGCCTTCTTATTAATGAACTCCAATGATATGCCATTGAGGTTTTGGTATTGGAACCCAAGCATGGCAACCAAATACTCATAAATAAGATACATTAAGAACACAACCTGAAATAAGCTCTTGTAGTATAATAATTTCAAGAGAAGAAGGATGAATGCATATTAATGCTACAGCATGCAAAATTGCATGACTTCACATAGATACAAGTAAATTTTCTTGAAGAAGGAGTGGTCGGATAATGAGTTGTGTATGCTTTATAAATGACTCTACAAATCTATTTTAAATATATTCATATAGAATACAATATGTCAATTCAATCCCTATTATAATATAATAGTCTTTAAAAGACTTTGATGCAAATTCTTTTACATTATCTATATGAAATATTTTGATAGGACAATTAGGAAAATATACCTAGAAAAAAATAAGCATAGATATAAGATTGGAAAACACCATGTTTTAGATTGATAATAATAAAATATGAGTTTATTTGCTTAATGTATCAACAAAGAGAAAAAAATAGTAAAATGGTCCAAATATTGGATTAATAGGACCACAAATATTATCATGCAACCTTTCAAGTATTAATAATAACTCTTCTAAAAGTTTCAAAATTGAAAGCCAAGCAATCATTTTGCTTGCACACATCCATGACATAATTCTATAGAATTTATATCTACATGTTTTAAATTATGTCTAGTTATACATAAAATTATCTTCCAAAATAATGTGAAGCTTGAATATCCTAATCATCCATCTCAGAGAAAAGCATGATTCTTTGTAATAGATGATGTAAAATTAAATATAATAGGAGGTCCAATTGCAATCCAATATAAATCATTTGTTGTAGCAAAGGTTTTTTCAACAACTTTATGATTTTGTACAAGAATCAAAACCTCCTGCCTATCTAAAATGGCAATTGAGGGGTGATAACTATTGGCATGCACATCTTGGTAGCCGACCAAACTTTGAGATGTTGAGGGTGCAAACATTACATATTTACATTTTATGATGGAGCTCCCAAGCAATTTTTCTATTGTTGTTCCTTCTTAGAAATAAAATTCATTTTTTCCAACCATAATCATCAAATATCTAATTTATTAAGTTAAGGATTTTTTAATATAAAATCGTCTATCTTGCAAGATAGTATATGTTGTTGCAAAATCAATGAATATATTATTTGACTCATCATTAGAAATTTTGTCATTCATATAAGCCTCTAAATCATCAATACTAATTGAATCTATAAACAAATCTATGGTATGAACTTCACATACTTGCCAATTGCTGCTACTCCTTCTTATTTTCTCAATTCTACTACCAAACTGCTACTGATTATCTTGCCCTGCTATTTGTAATTATTATCTACCATTATTGTTGCTATTGCTATCTATAATCATCATCATGTTGCTATTGCTATCTATAATCATCATCACCTCTGCCATTTGTGGTTTATCATTTTTTGTTGTTGTCACATTCTACTACAAACCCTTGTTTTTGTAAAAAAAAAAACTCATCAAAATTTTTAACATTTTTGATTTTAAGTTCAATTTTATTATTTTATTTGACTTTACATTTCAAGGTGTATTTTACTCAACCTTTTCTACTTGATCTTGTATTTTCTTTACAAGTTTATTTATAATGAGTGCTTCAACATCCTCAACTATTTTTACTATGTTTTCAACTATCACCACTACATCCCAACATTTTCAACATCCTCAACTATTTTTACTATGTTTTCAACTATCACCACTACATCCCAACATTTTCAAGCTCTTTTATTTCTACCATTGGGAAATAATGGGCAGAACTTGAAGGCTTGGATGCTTTCCCATGTTGTATAGTTTGTTTTCTGATCACAATGACTTGGATGCTTTCCCATGTTGTATAGTTTGTTTTCTGATCACAATGACTAAGAAGGAATTATGTTGTATAGTTTGTTTTCTGATCACAATGACGAAGAAGGAATTATGTGTTTATTCTTGGTGCAATTAGTCAAAATCGTAAAAAGAAGAATAATTCTTGCGAGCTCTACTTATCATTAACCTTTGAGGAAGTTTGTACGAGCACGAAGCAGTGGAGTCTTATCCAAGGAGATCATTCAATTTTGTTGTCTCTGAGGGAATGTGGCTTGTCCTTCGTCCTCCTATCCCATGTTTTGTTTCTACTGATCTGCAATTGACCCCACTTTTTCTCACCTTCTTGCAAAGCATTTCTGCTTCGAGAGTCTCAAGATTGTTATTGCGCTGTCTGCTGAGCCATGTATCTCAGCGAGGATGGCAGAGACAAATTAGCAAATCCTCGTGCTCTGAAACTGAAGCTCTCTGGGATGATCAGTGCTAGGAAACCTTGAGAGGTGCTTGTTTAGACAATATCAATATTTCTTTTGACTTCTGCTCGAACGTGGACCTAGTATAATATCGACGCTTCTGGGAGAAGATGCCCAATGCAGAACTGAGATAGCCAGTTGTCCACCTGTCCCCTGTACAACAATTTATCATGCTGCAATACATTTACGAACACGAATATCATCTAAATTATACTTACGATTTGCCATTATTTTGTGAATAATGCTACTGATTATTAATGCCGTTTCTCGTATTACCTTGCAGGCGGATGTAGTTGTCTCTCTATCTTAGCACACTTCTCTGTAGTATGGATCGTCGTTGTTCAAGCCAGATCGCTCTGTCCACTTTGTTTTGCCGTCAGGATAGTGACATTAAATTGGAGGAACAATGGCTACCTGGTTCTTCCTCAATGATAGAATGCTCACAAAAAAAATTGAACGTTGCGTTATACGCAGATAGCCAATCACCACGAGAAATTATTTTATTTAAACCACTGAAGAATCGCTGCTTTTTAAGAGACCTGCTTGTGATGTAAACAGAAGTAGAATACTGTGCATGTAGATAATAGAAATACACAAGAGACCAGATGATTGATGGCTTTCCCAATATAACTCAACGAACCCAAGGGTAGCTCTTTGCAACTTATCGCATGGAGACCACCACCAGGAACAGCACCTTTGTCATTACGAGGACAGCTAGCTTTTCCGCAACAATAACTGGTGGCCTTTCTTTGTCTGAGCCACTCGTATTTGTATTTGCTTCTGCGTTTATAGCTGCCGTGCACTCCTTCCTCCACTGGTCCTTATCCTTCACCTCATATATTACAACGTTATCTAATAAAGGGCCGTAGCTACCTTTCGTCAAGCTTGAAAATGTGATCTTGGCGGACTTGTCTGCTGGCATCTTGAATGTGTAGTTCCTCGTCAACCATCCCAAGTTGGATTTCTCGAACCCAGAGGTATTCATGTTTTCATATTCATTTTCTAACAGGACTTTGCCACTCTCTGAACCCATGATGTTAATCTTCATCTTTCCAAACCGGAACACCGGAGACTCTTCTCCGGGCAGTAATTGCGCGTATTCCAGTATCGGGTTTGCTGCTGTGTCGAACAGCAATACGTACTCGTGGTCCTTGTCGCTGGATGAATTGGAGGGCACCCAGAACATGGTGCTGATCACGCCTTGGAGGAGACCTGCATTCAACTCGACAGTATATCGCCCTCCGTCAGTGGCAGATTGGAAAGCATATTCGTTGTCCATGAAGAACCCGTAACGTCTCCTCCCCGGCTCTGTTTTCCACAATCAGAGAAGATTTCAGATGCTTTGAAAGTCGTTTACAGCATCCAAATTTCTTCGAAATTTAACTTGAACTACAGTTTAGCAAAGTAGACAGTGATGAGAACAACAAAGTTCTAATCTGTTTACATTCATGCCATAACAGTTCTGTTTTTTTCGTAGTTTGCGGTGGGAGAACACTAAAACAGTCTTAACGTAAAACTTTCCATGTACGGTGGAAAAAATGAACTGAGTCTACATTGCAGTCTACTTAAAAACTTTGAGGTGTGATGCGAGACTTAAGCATGTGTATCTTAGTTGTGGACTTGTCTGAACTATAGGTGGTTGGAAAAACAGTGGTCCACAGCATATAGGACCAGCATTCCAGTTGGCTAGTTGGTAAAACAGTTACCCGTAACTCGAATTGTCGACCCCGTCATTGCTACCCGCACTTTCCCGGATTCCACATTCCAATGGGGACAGTAGAATTTGTCAGGAGCAGTCACCACTAAATCGTGCCCGCTTGCGAAGCCAGTGCCGGCAGGCAAGATCAGTTTTTCAAAGCTCCCGTTCTCGACTAAATTCACTATGTTAACTTGGATGTTCGCCACTAGCAAGCCGTAATAGCCTCTCACCAGGGACATCAGGTACAGGTACAAGCATTTCCCCGTCCCCAGTGTCTTGAAGGAGACCCTCATCCAGTCAAGATTGTCCATGGAGCTGTTAGGGTTTGACATGAGCACAAAGGGGCTGGGTTTGGGCACAATCTCCTTGCCCTGGTCGTCGAAGACAATTGCCTGCAGAGACTGTCTGCGGGGTCCACCGTGAGGGTTGCAGGCCAAGCTCATGGACACCACATACTCCGCATTCTCCCGCGACGTGTACATAGGCATGGAGACGATGTGCCCGCCGCCCACGCGCGAGTTCATGTGCACGATGTAAGTGGCGTTCGCAACCGCGATCGGGGGGTTGTAGATCTGCGTGTCCCAGAGCTGCACGCCCCCGTGCACGCACGTCCAGTAAGGCAATCCCGACTTCACCCCATGCGCCAACACATCCTGCATTGGGTACGACTGGAACTGGATTTTGATGTCGATGAAGTCTCCGTTCCGCAGAAGATTCGCGGCGTCGCACTCCACCCCATCGATAAGTAACAAGAGCACCACCATGACGGTCATGCAGAGCGGTGAGCACGCGCAGGGATCAACGTGGCGCTCAATACGATGAGGCAGCCGTTGTTTGCATCTCTCCATGCATCTCTCGACTACTTCATCGTCATGGCCCCATATTAATTCTTCAATCTGCTCTCAACTCTCCACTCTCACCTCCATCTCCATCGCCTCCGATGCTTGCTCGCTTGCTTGCTGAGCTCCAAATATCATCGTCTCGTCCGCGTCCTTAACTGTCAACGCTGCCTGCCCACCCTTAATGCCCTCCCTTAACTTATCGGGATTCTCACCCAGAGATTGGGTATGATACCCGGCCAAGACCTTGTTTATATCGTTTCTAGATAACCTGTAGAGACCCTGTTCTTATCAATTTCAGATAACCGGTCGAGACCATGTTTCTAGATACCCTGCCTGGGTCTCGTTCACGGTTACCTTGAACGTTTGGCTGTGAATGTTCGTTTACTTATTGCATCATACGTCTTATTATAAAACAATTTAAAACATCATAGTACATTTTCAAAACTTTTTGATGAATATGTGCTGAACATAACCACCCAATAAATATTTGGAGCACAGCAAGACACTCACCCAATAAATATATACATATGTATATATATATATATATATATATTAACAAGACATTAAGATTTGGATGATATTTGGAGCACATTTGGAACATTAAGATTTTATTTTTTATTTTCTAACAAGTTTTGATATACATATTTATATGCATATTCTAATTTTAGAAATTTCAAATCAATGTGTAAATTGATATATATATATATATATATATATATATACACATTTACAATTCACTATCAAAATATATAATAATGTATCCTAGTAAAGGCTGCAAATTTATCTATATTAAGTGTGAATTTCAAATAAAAAATATTTTTATTGATTTAAACAAAGCACCACTTCATATGTTTGAATTTTAAGCTCAGTAAAATAATTTCTTATTAACATGTAAAAACTAATGCATTTGCAAATTTTTGGATACATTTATATAGCTACTACAATAATAAATTTATTCAAAGGACTGAAATACTAATACATGAAAAAGAAAAAAAGATAGAAAGGTTTTTTAAATCCTAAAAAACCTACAACAACAACAACAACAACAAAAACAAAACAAACAAAAAAAAAACAAAAACAAAACAAAACAAACAAAATGATTTTGACACTATAGTGTGTATATATATATATATATATATATATATATGTTGTACATTTAATAGGAAACACATAGACCACAAAATTCTTGTATGTTTTATATATGGTGTTTCTAAATAAAGTCATAATATAAAATGATAAATGTATTTTTATAGACAATCATATTTGGCAGAAAAAGACATAAAATAACATGTAGTCATTAATAATAATAAGAATAAGAATAATATATTCAAAACTAAAATTTTATTTATGTGCAAAAATTATGTTTTCTAATAGATTTAACATTACTTATTAAAATTTATATATCATGGATAACACATTTTTTATGCTATGCAAACCGTGATTATTTTTTTAGCAATTAGGAATATCTTAGGTTAAAAAAAGAAGGTGAGAGGTCACAATTTTCAAAGTTTGTGATTGGTTAAAATTGAGAAGCCTTCCTTAGCTTGCTTTATATTTAGGAAAAGCAACCAAGAAGCCATGAAAGAAAAAAAAAAATGAGATGGAATGCATCTTTTTATTATATTTTATGAAGAGTGTTGCCTCCCAAAATTTATGTTAGGTCCACATGAAGAGGTGGTTTTTACAAAACTTTAAGAAGCCATGTAAGAAATTGTTTCAAGTGTTAATTAAAAAAATTAAAAACCATTTTTTTATGAATGACATAATCAATAAAAAAAAAGAAACATATAAGCCACCACATTTAGACTTCTTGTAAAAGAATAATTTAACCCATGCCGTGACCTCCGCTTCTTTTAAACCACCTCCCGAAACCAAGACAAAAGGACTACTTTTCTTTACAAAACAAGGACTTCCATGAGACTTTTAAACCATATCCTTTCAAAGCAGTCTTCTAGGTCTAAAGACTACATAAACAACCTTTAATTCAATAAAAATTGCAGATCACAACTTCTTTCTTGAAATTTTTAATGGTTCCAAAATAGAACATGATACAAAAAGAAATCTAAATCATATATATATATATATATATATATATAAAGGGGGTGTTGTTAGGTATGCTGTAGAGGAAATACAAAACTTGACAGCTTCAGCAATGGTATGGAGAACCCACAAATCCTTGAACTCACAAGCTTCGAGTTAGCAGCTTCCTATCATCAAGTTCGATGTTTATGAAACCTCCAAAGAATGTGTCAACCACCATGCTTGACGGTGACACTGAAGCTACAAAGCCTGATGTTGATACAGACTTGTTTTCCCTAAAACTTACAACTTATCAACCACTAAACAGATTTCGGGAGGATGCTATATTTTTGCTAGGTTATAGGTGACACAAGTTTCATAATTTAGCGTTCTTCTGCATCGGGCTGTGAACTTGAGATGCAAACAAGCAGATGGTCGTCGAAAACTGTGGAATAAGTTCAAATCTAGACTGATTGAAGAAGCAAGAACATTGCAGAACCCCGCTCATCACAGTTGCAGAGTTCGACATCGATAGTAGTTCCTTGGAGGTAATTGGCATGTCATCTGGATCCATTGTGGTCTGGCTCAGAGGTTCAATCACCTGGCAATCAGCGTCGCCACTGTGTTAAACATGGACCTCTTGATTAAGAATACACGGCTGATACAGGTTGAGAGAAACTCTCAGGATAAACCATGTGTAGATCAATGTCGATTTCAATTCGCTTTCTCCGAGCAGCAGCTGGGTGTATACATCGCCACCTTTGGGCTGAATCGACCTTAGATGGTGTCAAAACCTTATTTTAGTAAGATTCTAACACTCTCCACACCGATCCACTATGCAAGGGTTCGAAACTTCATGAAGATCATCTCAGGTGATGTGCATGATCCAGCTACTTCTAGAAGCAAACGCTTCTAACTCTCGTTCAGTTAAATTGTCGGCAACCACATAGCATCATTATTTAGTTCAACCTTCAATTATTAGCGTAATGCAAAAGCAATTCAGAAACCACGTTTATGATTACGAACAGTCTCAAAGTTCTGGTATCAGAAAAGAACTCTGTCATTCCACCGAGTAAGATTTCGGTGACGAGTTTGAAAGTCATCGCGTCTCAACTCTTTATGCTTCTCACGCATTCTAGGAAAGTTTGTTTCTACAAAACTAAGCTCAACATGCTCACTGAAAATCTAAGAATTGCGACATCTCTGCCCTCCATCACGGAGGTGGACACCTTCGTCTTCTCTAGCTATCTAATGATGTACAATCTAAGCAGCTTTGCTGCACTAATCTCTAGCTCCCGAAAGTCCTACCTGTCTTGGTGATATTGTGAATATATGTTTTACAAAAGAAAGGATGATCGCTGCAGGATTCCTTAGAGCGCCTGTCAAAAATGATACCGAGAATGTTGCACTGATGACATGTGCATGATGAGATCCAGCACCCGGTGGCTGCAAAACCACGGGAAAACTCTCATGGTGAGAAAGATGCGCAAAACAATATACGCAAAATCCCCAAAATAAATTTTCTAAACATCTCTTGTAAAAGAAGACTTTAGTGGAAAAAGTGATCACCTGTAACCCCACTCGTTGTCGTACCACGCAACGAGCTTCACAAAATTTTCGGCCAAAGCGAATCCTGCTTTGGAATCGAAAATGCTGGACCGGCTATCGCCGATAAACTCACACGAGGCGGGATCATTGTCATTGTAGCCCAAGATGCCCTTCATTTTCCCGTCGGCCTCTTCTCTGATTGCGGCACATATTTCTTCGTATGGGACTCGTCTATTGAGTTTAACGGTCAAATCGACAAGTGAAGCATCTGGGGTGGGAACTCGGAAGGCAATGCTGCGGACCTTCCCGTTCAAGGTCGGGATGAGGCGCCCGATTGCCTTGGACGCAGTCGTGGAGCTAGGGATGAGGTTGAACCCCGCCGCGGCACCACTTCGCCATTCCTTCAACGAAGGACCGTCCAAGGATTTCTTGGTGGCTGTGAGAGAGTGCACAGTGGTCATCAAAGCTTCTGCCACGCCGAATCTCTCGTGGAGCACCTTCATGAGGGGAGTCATGCAGTTGGTGGTGCAACCGCCCATGGACACCACATTGTGCTCGGGTCTGTATTCACGCTCGTTCACTCCCACGACAAACGTCGGCGCATCCTTGCTGAACCCTGTGATGATCACCTTCTTCGCTCCGCCTTTCAGATGAGCTGATGCTCTGTCTTTGTCAGTGTAATTCCCCGTGCACTCAACCACGTAGTCTGCTCGATGCTTACTCCACGGAATCTTAGCAAGGTCCCTGCAAATCAGTCAAATCTCATGTTATCAGCAACTTCCAGTTAACGGCGTTTCTTGATCAGCCACTGGAAGTCAAGACGAAGCAAAAGAGCTTCGCGGAAACCCTACATATGGAGCGTGATCAGGTACTTACTTCTGTCCGTAGACGGCGACCTTCTTGCCGGCAAAAGAAAGCGTGTGCGAATCCTGTGCATAGATATCAGACTTGGCGAGCTTCTGGCCATGGACCGTATCGAATGTGAACATGTAAGCCTGCAATTGCATCGCAACCATCTAATCAGAAGAGACAGATTTTCGACCGGCTTTAAGTCCAGAGCAATGCGGACTCAATTTTGGGTGCAAGCAACCGAGCATGGCATTAAAGTTCGAGGATCACGAACCATGTAATCTGTGCTAATGAAAGGGTCATTGACAGCGACCAATTCGACGTCGTCACTCTCTAGAGCGACTCTAGCAACCAAACGACCGAAGCGGCCGAAGCCGTTGATACCGATTCGAAGCTTCTCCTTTGGAGAGGCTGGTGGAGTCTTTGTTCCTGCTCACGAAGAAGGCACAAGACTCAGTTTTCAATCAACGATCACTATTACAATTCCTCGCAGCTATGTGATAGTTATAAGGAAAATGGTAAAGGTGCAATCCAATGGGCTTCTAAAACTGCCAGGGATCAGAATCAATTCCACGAGGAACCCTGAGTCTGGTATGTACAACTTCTCCTTCAGACCCATCAACAACAATAAACCCGAAGTAAACCTGCGTCCACAACACATAGATTCTGTGGAGCAATACCTCTTCCCATCTTTCGTGACTTGATTGATCCACCTTGTCGCCAAAAACGAACACACAACTGCTCACTACCCTCAATTCACAGCACTCCTTTGCGTGCCTGAATTCAAGGATCACAAGCTACAAATCGGTTTTGCTTCCGTTCGCTCAGATGGAATTGTTAAACAACTACGTATATTCTGTATTCACCGGCTATTATGGCCGGCCAAATCTACAATGGATGCGCTCAGATTCTGCACGACTCGACCTGAAGATTAAGCACACAAACGAATCAGGAAACACGTCAACCAGCTGGTCTAGCTCTACAAATCAACCAGATTTTTTTTTTTTTTTTTTTTTTTTCATTTCTTATTACTCTAGCCTGCAGTGAACTCCACGGATTCATGTGAGAATCGGAAATTAAAAAGGATCAATTCCGAGCTACTGCCTGTGATTCTCACCTCCAGAACCCCTCCTGTCTCTCCACTCAAACTACTCCCTCTTTCGATCACACAAACCAAACACGACAACTCCCAAGCTGCCACCTCATCGAAACCTCATTAAAAGCCTTTGGCGCACAGCGACATGCAACACTCACCTCGAAGAATCGACCCCGCGAAAGTTGCTTGGAAGACACAAAGGTTCACTATCGATCCACATCGATCAATCGACTGATTATAAGAAAATGATGGCAGTGAGCACGCGGTCTTATATTGCAGCCGGCTTGTGGGTGACGGGCTCGGGACCGGCCTGGCGGTGGCAATTACCGAGTCCAGCAGCCGATCAATGAACACTCGCAGCCTGCGACGGACCAGAATCATCGGAACTATCTGCCAATCATCATCTACGACAAAATTAGGAAGGTCCACGACCTTCCAGCTGCGAATAGAGCCGCAACAACTCAGCCCTTCTGTGGTGAAAACTTCGGTCCCCTTTGTCGATATGGTTCGTTGACTGAGGTCAGTCCCGACGAACGACGACGACGACAAACAGGTGGAAGGAGGGACGAATCGAAGGACGGATTCACGGAACGAGGGACGAACGACACTTCGGGTCCCTCTCGGGCGCCTTTCCGTCCTTTCCGAGCCATTTCAGTTGAGTCGCCTATTACCGTAATGGATGAACAGAATTTGGATCGTTAACAAGTCTTCTGGTCAATTTCTGTTCGCGAAGCCTGCGGTAATGTTTCTTTATATCCTTGTTGGACTACTAAGCTATTTCACTTTTCTTTTTCGTTGCTTTTGGATGCAAAGCGTTCATCCATTCTGTTTGTCGGGAAGCTCTTGTGAGCACGGTGCAGACTTCTCTGTAGGTCTCACTCCTTGTGGCTCCAATTCATTATTTTCCAGAATAATTAAGGTTAAGTCGAGTTTTTAAGTGGGACGCTAATGAGTTGAATTTAGCTCCATCTAAGTCAAATGTTCGTCAATAACTTTGGATGTGTATAACTTGGTTTACTTTCAATGCTACCAAGTTACAAATGACATGGTGACTTTTATGATAATTAGGTGATGTTCTAGATTTATTAATGTGAATGTATGATATTTAAATGTGTAAAAGTGTGTGTGTTTGTGTGTGTGTGTTTATACACATATTTACTTTCTTTTCTATCTCATTTTGAATCTAAAATTTATTTATTTTAAACTGTTGCATTCAGCTGTTATATTAAAATCAACCCAAATTGGTTAGATGTATCACAAATATCATAAAAATAGTAATATTTACAGATTCTTCTTGGTTTCTGTCTCTTTCCTTCTTTGTTTGCTTTTTCTTTTTCCTTTGTTTTTTTCTTGAAATGGTAGAGTTTTAAAAATAAAATATTAAAAAACTTTCATATTACATCAATTTCAATGTAACAGTATTTTTAATAGATTCAAGTTATTGCAATTTATAAACTAGCAAAGATTTGTGATTAAGTAATTTATGGAGGCAGTTGTCAATGTTCAGTTTAAAATACATGACTTTCCTTCTTGTGAAAAGTGAAAAATATCAAAACCACACAGAAAAAACAAAAGAACAATGAAAGAACCAATTGGCAAAGCCAAGTAACCCTAAAATCAAAACAAACCAAGGTTATTCAAATGCTTGTTCTCAACCAGTCATGACCTGCAACGAACAGCAGGGGTTCAGTCCAACAAATCAAGTTTCGAGAACCTCCATGAATGTAAACCTCCCACGTAGCTGTAAAGCACTGAAAAGAAACATGAAGTAGACAGTAAACCTCTAATCCTAACCCTAATCCCAGCCCTATTAATAGCCCTAATTGTAAATTTTGGGACCCAGAAGTTGCTGTACGTTGGTTTCTATGGAGATGGGTGTGATGGGTATTGGGCTCTGTGCCAGAGAGCACACATGATAACCTTGAGTGCTGTCTGCAAACTGTGGGCGCATGGGGTAGGTGATATGCTTCTGAGGTTTTATTGAGATAAACACCATGGCTCTCCCTCACTCTCTCATTCTCACACGGCACTGATAAGCTGGTTATCCTTCTGCAGTGCAAATATAGCTTTACTTACTTTTTCAACTGTACCTGGGTTCAATCAGTTTTTATTCGTTAGATGTATCAGTTGTGGAAAGGACTTTAAAGAGGCATGTTATATATTCCCACTGATGGGAATGTAGAGCCAGGGCTGGGAAACTTCCCTGCTTGGAGGTGAACTGTTTTTGGTCTCCCTGTAACCAACTACAAATATTATCCGATTAAATTTATTCTTCCAAAACAAATCTTACAGAATCTGGATGCATCCCTGTTTTTTATATTGTTCTATGTTTCGTTATTTCAATTGAAAGATCAATGAATATATTAATTCATTCATTGATACAAAGTTCAAGGTTTTCTTCATACAATAAATATATCATGATATTGGGTTGAACTTCCAAACTAATAATGACCATGATTTTATACTTACCATTTCATTCTATCTAAAAATATATCTTATATTTATTTTAATTTTTAAACAACTACATTAACTCATATGTATATATATATATATATATATATATATACACACACACACACAAAAAAAAAAAAAAAAAAAAAAAACATTATCAATTTCTTCTCAAACAAGACTTTATATATACAGGCCATGAACTTAATCATTCAAAGTTGTTAATTCATAAGAAAATTGTTGAACTTTGTTGCAATTGACAAACAACAAAACCATTGAACTTTCAATTTGTCTGAGTTCACATAACTTACAAATTTGTTTCATGGTAACCCTGATACCACAATGAATACAGAAGTTGATACTCACCAATTGGCTATTATAATGACCCATTTCATTTTTTTCTTAAAACACCATTGGATTATACAAAGCACCAAAATATCTACAATGTACAATCCCAAACAAGTGTCATAAAGATGCGCGTGTTCCTATTCCAATGACAAAATGGACTTTTTCCAGATCCAAACCCTAATTTGGCCCCACACTGTCTACACCAGCGATGCTGGTCATAGTGAGCCCACCCTCATCATCAGAGCCAGGAAACCCTAATCCGACTTCGAAACCCTAATTCTTCGACTGAACTTGCTCTCACCCGTCGGAGAAGAGCCACGGGCAGGCGGTCACTACGAACCTGAGACGAGTCAAAAAAATTGATCTGGATGCAATTGCGTGCGACTTTCACGCGCCTGACAGAACGTCATTTGGAAGCTTCACTGCCTTCCCTAATGAAGCCTCGGTGAACTTCTATCGAAATGTGGTCCACTTTGAGGGGATTGAGGCAATTCGGGGGTACGGATAACTTTGACAGTCTGCCAGCGACATCTCTTTCCCCTTCAGCCCGCCCTTCCCACTAGTAGCTGGAATATTCATGTATTGCCAGGAGCCGAGGAAGTTGATTCTCTACAAGCCAAAGACTTTATCTCGCTCTCTCTGTCTCTCTCTCGCCCTCTGTTTTGTGGGGGACCTGCGCACATACTTATCGGGAAAGAATCCGAAGGGTGTTGCGTCAATGGGACACCGAGATTCCTCGGATTCACGCCTTCGGAGCATCTGTCTCCAAGTTCTGTGCTCGCCAGGGCAGTCCATGTCCCTTGGAGTGGTGATCCACAAAGCGTGAGCTTCATTAACTCCAACGCCTATTTCCAGACCACGATACAATCACTGTGCGTGAGATCCGCGCTCAGGCGTCTAGTTTTATTTCTGAGATTGCGACACGAGATAGTCAGCCACGGGAACCCTTTTCGCTTCTCGTCTTCCACCCTCCACAGCTTCGGCACATTTGCATTGAGCATCACCCAGCTCAGAAAAAAAATACAATAGAATAAAAAATAAAAATAAAAAACAGGAACCGTTCGTTCCCAGCAGACAATCCCGGTGCCCATTTGCTCAGTCCCAGCAGCTTATCCACAAGCAGAGCAGAGCTGAGCTGAGCAAGCGGGGACGGAAACACACACAGATTCCCGAACAACATCAACATCATCGTCATCATCGTCATCATCGTCATCGTGGTGAAGCTCGAAATTGGCAGCAGCATCGCGTGGTTTCCTGCGAGGATTTCCAGGCCCACTCGCTTTGTCACCTCAAGCAACTCTCCGTCTTGGGTGCCGAGAAGCATATCCCATAAAGAATCCCTCTGGTGGGCCGGGGCTGGCCTTGGTTGCCAAAAACTCACACTAGTTGCTACATACATACATACATAGATTGTTGTAGTAACAAGGAATAAGGCATCTATTACCATGTGAGTGTCCAAGTATTTTGCTAGTGTTCCAAATCATGCAATTGTGGCCTCATGAATAGAAACAAGGAGTACCTTAATTATGCCAATCTCTGTTGGCAAACATAATAGGAGGAGGAGTTCATTTCAAGGTACATCCTTCTTCATACATATTTTTTTGTCATTATTTTGCTTGTTTTATGGCCAATAGATTGTGGGGTAACAATATCAAGAACATTAGAAATTACTTGTTGGAGCAAGGATGTTTGAGGAGAAATTTGTTGAATGAGAAGCACTTACAAAATGAAAATAATAATAATAATGTATTGTGTGTTTGTTATGGTATTTTACAAATTTCTTATTTGGAAAGTAACAAAAGATGTATTATACAAAGAAAACTAGGTTTTCTTACTCTTGTCAATTTCTTGGCATTTAATGAAAGTGTATAATAATAATGATAATAATAGATATATTTGATGTTTTGCATGTGGGATGTATCTTTATTTCACCTACTGATTGATTATAAAATTATAAAATTATTTTTAAATATATATTAATTAAACAAATCTTCTTATATAAAATTTAACAAAAATCAAATTATGTGTATAATTATTTGTCAAAAAAACAGGAAAGAAAAGAAAAGAAGTTATTTTGGCATTAATATAACTGAACTTAATACATAAGTAAATATATTAATCTAAAAATTGAATTGAATAATAAAAAAAATGTTATATGAACAAATAATATACTGATTCTTGAAGAGGATAAAACTGTAGTGTTTTAGAATTTTTTTTTCCTTCTTCTATTTAAAAACAAATTTCAAAATAAATAAATAAATGATTTAGAGAATAGATAAGCTTATATATAATAATAATATTATTAATAAATTAAAATAAATCGCTATTATGTATATTATTTTACAACTATTAAATCTTAAAGTTAAAATTTCCAGAGATATATTTCGATGAGTTTTTAATTGATTTCATTCATATTATTTTATTAATATGTTATGGAACTTAGTATTTTAGTAAAAAAAATCATTAAAAAAATCTATTATATGTGAAATTTAATGAAGTTAATAAAACTTAATAGACATTCTAATTTTATTTCTTAAAACAATAATTGCAATATTTTAGAATATTTTGGCATTCAAAAACATCTTATCTAAAATCCTTCCCATTGTAATATGAACATTATTTTTCAACTAGTTCGAATGATTTTTGTAATTTTAATATGATACTTGACCCTCTATTAATAATTCTTTTAATTTCACAATGTTTTCAATATTGATGATAGTAGCTAGTTGTAAAGTATAACTAATTAAAAAATAAATAAATACATAACTATGTTTATTTAATAGTTTTAAGAAATATATTTTAAAACTGTGTAAATACTAATAATTATAAAGAGAGATATTTATAAATAAATAATAAGCAATAATCTTTTTAAGAATCTATGTACAAAATAAATATTTAAAATTAAATAAAATACAAAGAGAGTGCACAATCTTCATAATGTATCTAAGGTATAAACAAAACCATAGGCTTGAGATCACCAAAAAATGTCTTAATCTTAATTTTTCTTTTAAAAGAATTATAAACACCTGTAAGTCTTGATTCTTTCAAATACAAGGTGTCTAGTATTTTTTGGACCTGGTACTAATCATATTTGAGAATATTTAATAAAGATACATAGGGTACAAAGAATAATTAGGTGCTTAAATATTTACAAAAAAAAACGTTTCTTAAAACATTAGATTTATGTTACTTTGATAATAACTTCAACTTTACAAGAAATTAATATTTCTAAAAATAAAAAATATTTTCTTATATATTACTAATTCCAATAGTGAGGGTTTTAAAATAGTTTTAAAAATACAGTACTTAAATAAAGAATGGCAATTATGTCACACAAAATCTTTAGTCTTGTCTCAATGTGAAAACTAAAAATAATTACAACAAATTTCGTGGTCGAACCAAATATGTTGTCGACCAAGGACATCAAAACACTTGTTCAATCACTGATTTCTTATTCACTTCCCTTTTTTTTTTTTTTCTGGTTTATAGAAGTTTACTAAATCACATCGTCCTTGGCTGAAGCACAAAAGTGAAGCAACAATGTAGGGAAACCTAAAGGAGGTCATTCTTCAAGGCAGCGATGCTTGCCTGTGCGCAGTTTCTTTTCAGTTGTGAATATTTCACATAAAGGAATATATATATATATATATATATTTATATGCTGAACAACATGATGAACAACATGATGAACTGACAGTGTAATAAACCTGAGGTCCCAAACATGGCATCGCACTTGCTGTGGGGACGATGAGCTCACAGTGAGTGAATGTGTGTGTGTATGAGCCATGCACCGAGGATGTTGTTTGTTGCGGCTCGGTGGAGCATCCATCCGATGAGCGTCCAGACAAGCGGGCCAGTTTGCAACAATCGGTGAAAAACCAACATGGAATCTGATTCCAGTCTTGCCAGCAAACTCCTCTGGGCCGTCCACGGAGAGGTGCTGGTTTCTAGAAACGGGACTAATGCAGCCTTTGGAAAGTAGTGATGGGGTTGTGAAGCTCAGATCACTAGCACATGAGTGGTTTCGGTAAAAGTTTTTGTCGATCCCGAGGCACAGAGAAGTTTTTTGTTAAAATTTTAAAATTTTGATTCTTTTTTTGTTTTTACTTGTTCCAGCAACCTGACTCTTATTCACTCTGCAGTGAGGAGGAAGGAGACGTTCGATATGGTCTACTTGTCCAAATTCGCCGCTGACCAGCACCTTTCGTTGCTCTCCACAGGAAGAGATTGTTTCACTGAGTTCGATGCGTCGTGATGCCATGTGGTTGACAGAATAAACGTCCCTTGGTAACTTGAGTGTGGCGCCAGACACCTGAGGTGCAAGAGGAGATATGGTGATAAGTGACTGTTGAGCACAATCGTTGGGTGGGGATGGAGAGGAGGGAGTGAGCTCAGAGGCAGCTTTCGTGGAGCTCCACAGGAAAAAGATATTCTTACCGCGAGTGAAATGCTGCCATGGTGGCCAAGGCCACTGTTATCATACCAAATCGCAAGAGGGGAATCTGTTTTTTTAAAGATATTTTATCTTGGCACTTCTATTGGATGTTGTGGATCTTGCTCTGCACCGCCTACTTGAAGCTTTTCAGCTACTAGAATTCGGCAAATTGAATTCATTTTCACTTTTGCAATGAATCATTCACTCAAAGGCTTTTGGTGCAATCGTAGGGAACCGTGTCGAAAAAGATTCTGGAAATGTAGCAGTCAGCTTCGGAATGGTGATGGATGGAAATTGCCAGCGCTGCGATGCGGTTTGGAATTCCTAGAGTCAAGCGAGGGAAAGCACCCACCATCTTCGCAGGAATTCACGGGGCGGCTAAAGATTCCATTCATGAGAGGGATCGGAAGTAACCGCAGGTAAAATAATGCAAGGTTGAAAAGGAAATCCTGAACAGCTTCCAAGATGAATGCTCCGAAAGGGGTGCAAAATCCAGACATCAGTTGATCAAGAATGACCCACGGCTTCTATTCTGAATTCATCATCCAGGCTGAAAATGATAATTAGTTCTCACTCTGACGAGATTCACCTCATGAGCACAACACCCAGGATTGCTGCACAGTGCACACAAGTCGGCTGGACCCAAGCCATGTGGGGAACAAGCAAAAAGCACTTGTGCGGGGAGCGGGGACTTATTCTCAGTTGAGTGAACTGAATCTCACAAGTCCTTCATCTAGAATAAACTTTTCCTCTTTCTGCAGGACCAGTTCAAGCCTTTAGTTTGATTGTACGCTTTGCTGCGACCGTGTCCAGAGATCAAACTCTCCATCTCGTTCCGCTTGACATCCACCCCCATGAGGTAACGATTTGGAGCAGAAGTTTTTCATCATGACATGGAGCTGAGTCTCAACAGTTGTTATGCATGTATACTAAGTCTTCTGGGCATGGAGACTGCCATGTGGAGAATGAAGTACGGCGTCCGCCTTAGCCGCTCCTCGAGGAGGGATCGTTTACTGCAAATTTCGATGCATAGGCTCTGTAAGACGGGTGCGCAGCGTCATTCGTCTTCCAAGCGCTAGCTTAGCAGCAACGCAATGCGTTCAACCCCTTTCATGAGACCACTGTGGTCTGTGATGTGACATAAGGCAATCGTGGTAAACTACAAGATTCTACATGGGTAGCATTACTTTGTACACCCTGAAGTCGACACAAAGAAAGAAGGTAGATTCGCTACACTGTAGGTTGGAGAAGCATCGCGGTACAGCGCATCTGAGTTCCATATCAAATTCAACTATTCAAAGCTCAATGTAACAAAACTGTGGACGTCTGGTACTACGGTCCAGGTCACACTGTTGAATTAGTACTTAGGAAGCACTGAAAGCTTCCAGCAGCGAAAGACGTCAGTCTCTACATGAAATTGTTCAATTGGGTGTCCGTAGGAAAGTAAAAAACAGAGAAGATTACCATCCACAGCTAAGCTCTTACGACGAGTAGATGTACAACCTCTGCATGATCTCATGGTCTAAACCAAAGGGCTCTGTGCTACACTTGGTCTCCCGGCAGTCCACATAGTGAGATGTTCTGAGACTGCTTCAAATCTCGCAACTTGTTACATATCTGCAATCATATCTTCCTGGAAGCAAACCCAAATCTAAAAGCTGTTGCTCATGTGTCGATGTAATTAGACGCTCTGTGTGTTTACAACACAATATGCCACCAGATGTATAATGTACGCACTATCCAAAGAGACATAGCTAGGAATCAGACATTCGGCGCTGAACCATCTTCACTTTCCTGTACATCCGAATTATCCTGGAAGCCATCAGGAACCACATCCTGATGAAAAACATCTGGGTGTTCAAAACGAATGTCTACCATGCGAAAATTGCCTTCCACTTCCTCATAGTCGAACGTCCTGAGTTCGGTATTTACAAGCTCATGACTGAACTCCTGATATTGAGGTCTCACCCTCCTTACAGGCACTGTCACAGAGTAAACTGTGCCCAAATCAGGATCCGAGGAGACATTTAGCTGCACTTTGTCCTCAGATTCGATCTCCACAAAATCAGAAAGAGCCCCAACAATGTTCGTCACAATCCTCCTCTTGGCGTCGTCATTCACAGAGCATCTATCTGAGATGAGAATCATTTTAAGTCTCTGTTTAGCAATAGACGCATTTGAGGAAGGATTTGACTTGGCTGGGAAAAGAATAGCCCATGCACGCGCCAACCGCTCGAGGAAACTCTCCTTCTCCTCACCCGGAAAACCCTCTGCATTGTTTGGGTAATTGGATCTCGATAGCTGCTCCTCATCAAAATGTGCCCGGCATGGTGGTAGCCTTCTGTTGTGCGGACTATCCCACCTGTCTAAATTTGCATTAGGTACTTGACTGATTTTCAACCTGCTTCCTACACGATGCTTGTCTGGAGATGGAAGAAAATGGCAGAGATTCTTGTTCACCTGTACATACAAACCCTAAAATTGTTTACAACGAAATTCCAGTACAACGTCGAGACAGCAACAAAATGCATTAATACTCTACATTAATTTGTCCGATCAAATTACTAGAGAGTGTTTTAAAAGGTACTGCTACTTGTAACTTGGTAACTCTCATAAACAAAATGACTCAGAATTCGGAGGTGAAGAGCTTAGTACTGCGATGCTACTGGCAGATAGTTGGCGTCGTTACAATTCGAGCTAGATTCACTTAAGGGCAAAATTAAGCTGTAACTGTAAGGAGAATATCATTGCAAAATCAATGAAGGGAATAACAACATAAATTGCAACATCCAACATCAGGTATTGTTCCACAGCTAAATGTCACCGTAATCCATGGAACCAATTCCCAAATTCTAATTCATCAATCAAATAAAAAACCTAATCACAAACGATACATCAGTAACAAACGAATTCTATCAAATTCAGAAATATCATCACCATTAACAACCGCAGACACCGAGACTCCATATACCACATCCAAAACCGCGACCACAAAGAATCAATAACACAACACACCTTCCAGGATTCCAGAGGCAGAGAAACCACAGCCGGACAGTGCACGCGCAACGATCTCACTGCAACAACGCACATCCTGTCACCGATGGCGCACTTACGCTGCGGCGTAGAGGTAGAGTTTCAACAAAACCACCAAACCCAATGAAGCCAACGAATCCCAAGAAACTCAGCTTGCCTCTCTGCCTAAACTCGGCACCGCACGGCCACCTAAACAATCGAAAAAAAAGAACCCTCGGAGCTTCCTCGATAACAACGGATAGAAACAATTACAACGGCAGTTGCGCACAAAGTCCTATCCCCATCATCTGCTTCTGAAAAATTTCTCGGGGGCAAGGGGAGGCTTGGAGGCCGAGTATAGGGCTCAGAATGTCGGAAGCCTCAACTGTTTTCGTGCGACTCTGTTCTGTTCGTCTCCTTCGGCGTCTCCATCCGTGCCTGGCACTCTCGGGTTGATTCTGGTTTGTGAAACATGATATTTCTCCTACACGCATTAATGGCTGAAATTCACGAATGCCGAGTTTGCATTGGAGCAGTGTGATTTTTCTTATTAAAAATCTAGCGTTAAATAACCAGTAAAACATAACGTAGTTGAAAGCCTGTACAGCTATCCTTTGAGAATCCTAAATTAAAAAGTCACATATTCATGCCTTCAGCACTGGGCTGTCTCAAATTAACGAGTTGTAAAGTTGAAGAAACTCAGGAATTGTCGTTTTGTAGAGCACCACGTTGACATGCAACGTCGAGTCGAGCAAAATCACTGACATCAGATTCTATTACTTTGATAAATGCACCATTCATTTCGATGTAGCCAGTCAATATACACACAGACGTACTGACACACACGCTAACCCACAATATTTCATAACCGTCGCTAAATAGAATGTAGTTTACCCTTCAGAGGTTGAATAAGACTCGCTTTTCGGCAAACGGAGCACTTTCAAAAAAGCATTTGTTACAAGGCCGTCTAAGTGGAAGTCTACACATGCGACTTGAAAAGGACATGGATCACTCCTATTACAATGTAAGCACCATCAAATTGCTTAAGAAAAATAATTGGAGGTTGTCTGGCGGTATTGAAATGATTGGTGAGCATGATATTGAAGAGAGTGGATAGATGTGATACATATCACGTATTGATTACAGTAGACCTAAGAGAAAGTTGGCTTAATTGTGAAGAATCGACAGATGATGGGGCGTTTGTTAGCAAACACCGAGCTGTAGTAGATTTGGGAAATGCAATGACGTCCCTAATTGAGGTCTCGCCAGCCAGTAACATGACCAGCCGGTCCAATCCATAGGCGATGCCTCCTGCACGTTGACATCACACGAGACGAAAAGTTTAACTACAAAATTGAGAGAGAGAGCAAATCAAGGCACTTGCAAACACGGTTTTGTTCGTTCAGACTAAAATTTTCTCCACACTTTTCATTCGAAATGATAGTTCATTGTTCCTGTCGAATGCTTCAGGCAAGTAAGGTTTACAATAAAAATTCAAAATTAGAAGACCACAATAGAGTGCAAGTATTAGGCAATACCGTGAGGTGGAGCACCGAGATCTAGCGCTTCTAAAAGAAACCCAAATTTTTCTTCTGCCTGTTCACACATAGATCAGATTGCAAAGCTTGGGGTAATGTGAACGATCGATTAGTGGAGCAATTACAAAGAGAAACCTGTGAATATTGCTTCCGACAGAACAAGCGAGCCCCAGATGCGACATTAAACCCATTTTCATATTTCTATCCAATGATTTGCAAAGAAGAATTTCCAAGAGATAAGTTAGGATTCAGGAGTGTACTTCTTCAGGAGTCAGGCCAATGGCACTTAGCACTTTTTCTTGAACAGATCTTTTATATATTCTCAGACTTCCACCTCCAATCTGACACAAGAAAGAAGTAAATAAGTGAACATTAAATACAGGATTCAATGCCAACCGTTGAGATACGCTTCAGACTTTTTAGTACCAAAAGAGCAAACCTATTTAAACAGGATTTAATGCAAACTTTCAAGGTAAATAGAATTCACCTCAACACCATTGTAAACGAGATCATAAGCCAAAGCTCTAGCATTTTTAAGATCTCCCATATCATCTGGATGAGGAGCGGTAAAGGGATGGTGGAGCGCCTGCGACATAAAAATCAGCATTGTGACATTAGATCTGGATAAAAGATGTTACTGTTCAGGCACATGCTCACACAAGGAATTGAGTAATGATATGCATACAATTTCTTTCTGGTCTGATAATCGACTGGGAATGATCCAGATGCTTGGTAAATCAGATAAAAAGCTTCAGGACATGTAGCTCACAAAGACAAAAGGTAGAGCATTATCGTCCGAAAATCAACGTTCTACGAAGAAACTTTGTGAATCTATTTGGTCCACAGTGCAAGTAAAGCTCACCTCAAGCCTTTGTTCATCTTCATTCCATTCAAACATGGGAAAATCCGTAACCCAGAGTATAGCATGCGCACTCTGATACATCAACCACAGATCGCACAATTGTAAGTGAGTACTGAAACTGAAACATATAGCTCTGCATGATGCAAGCCTGCAGATGTCCCGAATTAAAAGAAGAATATGCAGAACTCAAAAATGGATAAAAATGTCCCAAATCTACAGGTAGAAACACGGTGAGTCCCGATAATAGGAAGTAAAGCACCTTGTCAACGATGTCCAAGTTGTCAGCAAGATAAGTACGAAGGGCATCAAGAGTTCTATGCACAGATGAATCTGGGCCAGCTGCGAATACGATGAGATCTCCTGCATTAGAAGCACAAAGCGATACTAGTTCCTGCTTCTTCTCCGGGCTTAAGCTTCCAACAAGAGCAGGAGGCCCCTCAAGTTCACCTGCATGGCAACTTGTACGTCAATACGTCTACTACCGATATGATTCTGACCTCAAAATTCACAGAGAAAAGTACCTGGACACTGTCGAATTCTTAATTCCGTAATGTTCATCAGCTAGCATCGTTAAAAATCATAAATAGAGACATGTATGAAACAGATGTTCACAGGGAAAGAAGCAGATGTTCATAGAGGTTAATGGGCAAAGAGGGAGATACACATTTACGACATAATGAAGTGTAACCAAACGGATCGAGAAGACTATAATTACTCAGTATGACGTAAGTGATTCTTCTGTGGTGTTGGTAGGACTGATGACCCTGCTGCAGGTTTAATAGGAAAAATAAGGCATAAAGGAATTGTGATAAACTCTACCGCCTGCCAAGACCTTCACATAAGGTAAGCCTTTAGCTCCCGACTTAATAGCTTGTTGATATACATCTCCTTTCTTTAACCTTGTAGCTGATATTTTTGAAGAACCCCCTGGAATACTGATTGCCTTAACTAAGCCACCCTCTTCCACAGCGCTTGAAAATGGTGCAAAACTCGATCCCGCAAACAGTTCCGAAACCTTTCAAAATAAAACAACGAGAATAAATACATAGGTACAGTTATGGCATGTGAAGTTACAACTATCTCTAGGAATCATCATAGACTCGTGATAACAAGATCAACCACTGACATTACTCTTGTAGAAAGAAATCAGAAGGTGATATTAAAATTATACCTTAACAAGCTCTAGTCCATAACGAAGATCAGGCTTATCACTGCCATAACGTGACATTGCCTCAGCATAAGTAACCCTTCGGAAAGGATTAGGAAGATCGACCCCTATTATTTGCTTGAACACCTGTAAGACACCGAAACAAAAAAACGAGTTCAACTCAATAATTATTACCATAAGTATAAAATAAGGGATCGGGTATTGCTCAAGGTAAAAAGAAAGCCCACAAAGAATCTCTTGTAGAATTGAGAAATATTTTAGAGTAGATGAACAGAAACTAAAATGTAGGAAGAGCAGCATAAGATATGTTTGAAAGCACACATGTCTCATGAGCCCCTCATTGAGCTCCAGCATATCCTCAAGAGGTGTAAAAGAAAGCTCCAAATCTAGCTGTGTAAACTCTGGTTGCCTATCCGCCCTTAAGTCTTCATCTCGAAAGCACCTGGATGGTTCCAAAACAAGTCATGGTGCTTTCTCACAATCTCGCCTGTTCAGTAGGCTATTTAGTTGGTAGCGGATAATGTTAGATATTCTCTACCGAGGAAATACCTACATCGTGTGAAAATTTGCTAAAACTCAGCAAGCAGCTCTTAAAACTATAAAATGCTCTTACGTAAATAAGCCATACGCATCCAGAAAATGTATACCAGAGAAAAAGTTACCTGGCTAGTTGATAGTATCTGTTGAACCCTGAAACCATGAGCATCTGCTTGAAGAGCTGTGGACTTTGAGGCAAAGCATAAAAATCTCCTGGCTGCCACAACCACCAACACAACTCAACTTTCTTTTGAAACAAGTATCATTCAACCACAAATCTAGCTGTATACACGCAAAAAAGCAAAGATATAAACAATCAAGTACGGCTCATTAATTACTATGCAGATTTATACCAGGGACGACATCCAATTTATTCAATCACGTAGAAGGACCAAAAAATTTAGTATGTGATTAAATTATATAAGCAGAACCACATTAAATATCCTCAAGGTATTATCAAAGTCAACCTCAATCCACCATAGCTCACATTAGTGGAGAAAACTTGGATACAAGCATTCACAAAGGTCTACAACGTGATGTAAGACGAACTTCATAATATTTTGAGTGAGGATAGGTGAACCGTGTTCATTCACATTATTCTAAAGTATCATTAAGAATGCAAGGACAAAAACAAAAGAAGTATCTAATTACCTGTACACGAGATGGAACAAGGTAATCGCGTGCACCTTCTGGAGTTGACTTTGTCAATATTGGAGTCTCTATCTGAAGACAGAAAATTCGCAGACAAGATGAGAGTCTGGATTCTTACAAGCCACTCCTACTATAGTATTCGATATCTGTTTGCAAAATCCTCATGTCACTGGTTATCGGTTTTGATTATGGTAAATAACCTCAATAAAGTCGTGAACATCTTCCAAGTGCCTGCGCATGAGCTTGATAATGTTGTGACGTATTCGCAAATTAGTGTTCATTTGAGCCCTCCTTAAATCAAGGTGTCGATACCTGCGATTATATCATCCATCAGGTTCGTGTACAAGAGCCTAATATAGCTCAAAACGATTCCGTACAAGATCTATGCAGTCAGATCAAAACTCCCAAAATTAATGCAGTCTCTGCATTACCACTGTAACAATGTAGACCTGAAAAATTCGGAGAAAGACTTAACACAACCTAATCATACCTAAGACGAACTTCTTCAGAAGGCATTTCTTTATTGTCGTCAGCAAGTGTCACCAAAAATGGCAAAGCCAATCCCACTTTGTTCAGAACCTGTAGACTCTCCGCAATGATCTGAATACATGTCAAACAATAATTCTGCATAAGCTTAAGCAATATGCGAAATAACTCAATCACGCATTCCGGACACATTCTGCAGTGCAGGGAAAACATGGACAACAAGCTGATTCCATAATGGAAGCAGTTGAATTGCCAATCAACAAACACCAGCAACAAGCTAATCCGAGTAGTAAACAAACTACCTCAATAGATCCAGTCGCCATACGAGCATTTGCAACTTCCTTAGGTCTGAGCTGCACAGTACCCTCAACTGCTACCACGTACTCAACACGCACGTGTTGGGCGGTTTCATGACAATCAGGGAAGTTGTCCGGATCTGATTTGACCTGCCATTTCCAGAAGGTGCAAACGTTCAAAGGGAGAGGAAATGATAGGACTTTGAGAACCACTCTCATGAGATCTTCGAAATGATGTTCACAAACGTGTACAATTAGAAGGACCACCGCATTCTCGTACCTGCACAATTCCGGAGTGGTCCCGCAAATTAACAAACGCAATAGCCCCGTGGCTCCGCTGCGATGCAACCCATCCGCATACCCGCACCCTTGTTCCTACATCCTTTTCAGTCAGCTTCCCGCACTCGTGAGAGCGCCTCGAGAAATCTAATACCTCGTTAGCAAGGTCAAACCCAGCACCTTTGGTCACCGGCTTCGTCACTGCATCCTGGACCGAACTCACCACAGGCAAAGCGTACGACGGCTTGGAGCACAGAGATGTGGTAGAATGCAGAGTTCTCGACCACCTTGGTCTTGGGGACAGACGATTGTAGTGGTGCTTGCGGAAAAGGGTGCCAAAAGGGGAGCGCAGCAGGATGGAGGCGTGGCAACGGGGGGCTCCCAGTCGCACTGCCATAGCCATAGCAGTGCGCAAGCTCTCTGGTGCTATGGCCATGATATTTCAAGGTTTAGGGTTTAAGGTTATCCACTCAGATCACTCGGATGCAATCAACTGCGCATTACATTGAAAACCTGTACACACGAGATAACACTCCTCAGTATCCTCGCATTCCCTCAAACAAAAAATTGAACCCTGATTCTGTGATACCTACAGAAGCCTTGCATTGAAAATTTGAAGACTCCAAAACCCCTTCGCTAGTACGCACCCATCCTCCGTGCCAGTAGTAACCCTATTCCAATTTGTATATCAGCCATCAGTAAGATTGATGACCTCCGTTAACAGATCATTGATTTAATCAAAAAAACTCTGCAGAATTCTTCACTAACCCCTGAATCTAAGCTGCAACTTAAGCGCCAACTTGCTTAATAAAATCGAAACCCAAAATTTTCAAGTTCGATTTCAGACATGAGGAAATGTCGGCTCAGTGGCACTGACATAAATTTTGCTACTGCCAACTCTAAAAGAGCTCAATCTCAAATTGGAAGCAACTCAATACAGTCCCATACACCCAATAACCTTTTTTTTTTCTTTTTTTGTGATTAACTGAAACTAGACATTACCCCTACAGGTATCACTCAGTTTTGAGAGAGATTAACATACTCCTTCCCGATTCCTTAACACAAGAACATCTGCCTCAGGTACCATTTGAATTGCACGACAGCGTCATCGCCCAAAGGCTCGTTGGATTCGTCAAAAAACGCCATTCTGCCGCTTATTCGATGACCTAAACTGAGGTGATTCACGGTACGAACCAGAAATTGCAGTGAACTGAGTCTCATGGAACCAAGAAGCTCCAGCTGCTTGGTGCGCAATCTTCAGCCCCACGCACTGAGCACCACCCTACAATTCCCCGCTCCTCGCCTTGCTCAACCACACGGAGAAGCTTGGGAACATCAGTTTGAAATGACTGTTGGATGAATAATTTTATCTCCAAACGAATTGAATCCCCCTTCGGAACAGACGAACTGGAAGGGTATAAGCACCTTCATCAACCGGAATATATCGACAAGGTTAGGGATACCAGGTGGTCAGGTACCCGTATTGGTAAACGATTTCAACCCATGGCATTCTCACAACCCCACGACTTCCAATCCGTAGAAAATCAGCGTTCACAGAGGAGCCTTAGCGCCAATTTAGGTGCATTTTCATGTTAACTCACACAAGTCTGTGTATTACGGGTTGCATTGTTTCCTGAACATGGATTGATAACAACAAGAACGGTACTGAGTGCGTGTGTGTGTAATTGTACATATACATGTGTGTGTTTATACATAAAAGTTGATTGATGAGGCTAACAGTAGCAAAATTGCCTCAGAAGATAGTGCAGGAGCTAGTTCTCTCAACTTAATATTGAGCAACTTCATGGGATTTCATGTGATTGTGTGCGCCCAGACCACAATTCTAGAAGGCAGCGGTAAGGAAAAACCTAAATAGCCAGGGTGGGCCGGGGACGTTCGCTGAACAAAGTTTCGTTGGGGACCACACACTGGCCTAAGCAACGGAAAACACGAGAAAAATGAAAGCGAACAGGATATCATTCTCATAATTCTCCACCAGAATAATGATTCTGCGGACGCTGGTACCTTATCCAAGGACATTGGACCTGGACGGCCACGGTTGGCTGAGATCCGCCATGCCAGATTTCCCTCCTGGCTCCAACGTCAAAGTTGGTCTGTCTTCCTAGCATCACGGCGCACCAACTGCCAGGGAGCTTGATACAATCTGGTATTCTACCGCGACTGGCGAGAGATTGATCTGTGAAATTGTCGTGCGAACCTTGCTGCTCGCATCAATCAGAGCGGCATTTGATCTGGTCTGGTGAAATCTCAGTCTAGTTGAGATGGCGTCCGTCGCAGCGTTGTCGACCTCCGTGGCTGCTGCCGCCGCATCCACCAGCGCTGTGGCCTCGTCCACGACGAGGTCGACCCAGAGAGTGTCGGCGTCGTTGTCACTCAGGAGGAGCCTCGTGCATGGCAACAAGGTGGTGTTGACCGCAAGGAAAGCAGGTGAGTTGCAATGTCTTCATTGAGAGAAGTAAAACGTGGTAAAACTCCAATTGGGTAGAGTTATTTCGCGTGTTGGAGTTATGGTGGCGGTTGCTTTGTTGAATTTTGGCTGAATCATGTCGAGTGTTTGAAGCTCCAATGTGCTGTAACCCGAACTTCACCGTGTCGCATTTTAGGATACGTGGTGGGGGGAGCTTTAGACTTGCTACCATTGTCTGTACAGTGAGGTTTGGAGCTCCCTAGAACCGTCACGAGTAGTTTGTCGTTCGGTACTGCGAAAGAGTTCGCGACTGTAAGTCGTTGAACCCTGTTGTATGACATGAAGCGGAAAACGTGTTGTAGGGTATCGTTCTTCTCATTACTTTCAGCCGCGATAGCCGTATGTTATCCACTCACCGCTCAATGGTTTGAGCGATATGTGAGGATGATGCTACTGTCCGTCCACTGCCTTTTAGGATGCTCGGATTCGACTTATATGTAACCCGTCTTTATTCGAAGGATTTCGCTCTAATCCTGTCGATTTCTTGGGTTCATTAACAAAATTCTGCGATATCAACAGGAATATGCTTGCTCGAGTCGACTACTCTCCCTTATCTGTTCTTCTAAATACGTCTTCAAGGTAGTTCAGCGACGTGTGCGTTTAGTATCTAATATTTTGAAATGATTCAACAGAGATACTCGTCAAGTGCTCTCCGATGGGCTCGATCTGACAAATCGTGACATGTTAATCCTGCAGAGTCCAAGAAGTTCAATCCTCTGCGCGTCAGGGCTACCGCCGACAGCGACAGCTCTGCTCAAATCCAAGAATTCGTCGAAGACCTCAAGGCCAAGGTCAGTTCCTCTCCCCATCTTCAATGTTAATAAGCTTAGGTCTTTCAGGGTTCATTCAGATTCTATTTATCAAACTTAGACCCCAAACAGAATTCTGTATGGTGAAATGAATGTTGTCGTTTATTAACAAGCTTTGTGCTGTAATGACTGAACAGTGGGACCAGACTGAGAACAAAACCACCGTCGTAGTTTACGCCGGAGGTGCCCTTGTGGCTTTATGGTTCTCCTCCACCATCGTAGGAGCCATCAACTCCGTCCCACTGCTGCCCAAGATCATGGAACTCATTGGGCTCGGCTACACTGGATGGTTTGTGTACCGATACTTGCTGTTCAAATCTAGCCGTAAGGAACTCGTTGAAGACATTGAGGAGCTGAAGAGTAAGATCTCAGGTGCTGCTGACGAAGTTGCGAGCGGCAAGTAAATGGCGTTGCACTCACTCCATGCTATGCAGCGTGCCACAATTCCTTTTGTGAATGTATGTACTCGTCGATTGGCACGAGCTCTGAAATACAGGATCTGAGCCGCCTATTTTTTGACTTGCATGATGAACTCTCTCTTCGTAGAATTGGTTGGTGATCGAAACTTTGCATGCAACCAGGCACGCACGGTCTAGGGATCTAATCAGAGTTGAACAGTGTAGCAGAGTTTTGTGTTGACGAGCACCTCGTGAGTGTATTAGCATTAAGATGTGTGAACTTTGTGGTTTTCACTGCAAGTTTCCTCGATCATGGAATATCCACTTTAATCTGGCATGGCAATTTATATTACTCTCGGGTTAGTGCTACGTATTCATAGCTACGTGTTGGTATGCGACGAACGCAGTCGCCAGAAAAGTCACCATTGCTCATGTTTTAATATCTCGAAAGTCGGTGTTGAAATTTCACCTGATCGTTGAAGGCCCCTCACAGTCAATGAACTCTATAAGAATGCAACTCCCGATGCTTACGAAAATCTATCGAAGATGGAACAGTCACAATTCGAACGTAGCAACCGTTACAAATTACCTGCATCTCCTGCAGCCACAATCATTGAACCTGCCTTGGAAGTGAACATTATAGTCCAATATCCCGTGTGAGACCAGGAAACTTGTCGGTTCGATGGACGTTCTACCCGAATGAGCAACAGCATGCACAAAGATTATGCGAACGAAAGTGACAACTGACAACAGTAGCTCGGCAACTGGTTATAACCTTGGAACTATTTGAACATGCAACAGTTACGGCTCCCCAACGTTGTTATAGGACTTCCATTCAATCAATAACACGTCTACAGAGAAGTTGCTTGAACTTTACAGTACAAACAAGCCACCATTAACAAGATATCTTAATAAAACTATTTTCGAGTGATACAATATTCAAAACTCCTACTAGCCACAGGCCCAACCTACTACAAGTAGAGGCAGTCTAATCTCATTAATTATCCTTCCAACTTGTCGACAAATTTGCTTGCTACCCAACTGCAAGCCTTTCTGAACAGAAAATAAAACTTTGATATAAAAACTATAAAGCATCCATTCGGCCTTAACAATATGGGCCCGGGACATTTTCCTCAATAATGCACGACGTCTGGCCTACAAACAACCATGTACATGTGTGAACCAACCCTTCTCAAAATCCTCTACTGCTAAATCCAAACCAGAAGCCTTCAGCACAGGGTCCAAGCCAAAGCAATCTTTCCTGGATAAAACCTAGTCTCTGTGTCTCCGTAACGAGGACACAACAAGCATACAACCGTGTCCTTTACAATTTACGAAATAAAAACTGAAACACAACATCTGTTTTCACTGCAGATTTGGACATTACCATATAAAACCCAGCGGACGTAGCACCCGACATAGAAATCTTCTTCTTTGCAGTCGCGCAATCCACTCCATACTGGTCATTTCAGCTCCTGAGTGTTTCATGCAAATGGCGTTGGATTTCGTTTAAACACAACCAGCGCAAGAACAAGAATTGTTAGTACCATGCACGCCTTAACAGGCAAGTCAGTTGGATCACTATCTTTGTCGCCGAAGATCTTCCGATCCACAAATCCAAAGACGCCGTTCACAAGGTCTACCATGGTGTCCATCATCTCCCATACAACATTCCTTATGCAATTGAATGCAACCAGAAAAGGATTCACACGCTGTGATTGTGTTGGGATGCTCGAACTCGAAATCTCCTCGTATCCTTCATAACCTATATCAAATGCTAAGGTAAACTCAGTGTAATCTTCTAACGTGTCTAACTGAGGCAAGACTATACACATACTTACACGTCAAAACATGAGAAATCATCTGATGCAGCTTTGGGCTGACAAAAAAATTCAGAAAACAACACGCTACAAGGCTGATGTGCTTCAACAACAGAGTCGATGCATCCAGGCTGACCAAAGTCGAACATAAAATCACGAAACTAACACAAACCTCTATTGTGAGATACAGTCATTGGGCGTGCTCGCATGAGTTCCTGAACCTTCTCGTTTTTCACGAATGCGTCCCAAATAGCTGGATCTTTGGCCAGCGATACCACTGCTGCCTGGATCACACCAACGCGCGGGTTACTTCCCGAAACTAAATAAATAGTAGTAGAAAATTCCTGACAATTACGACAGCTTGATATGCCCACAATTATTTCAGCGATAATTTTTCCACATGGAAAACTTAATTAAACAAGAAAAATGGCCAGACATATCTAAATTCGTCTCGTCTGGAGGAATAACTGAGTAAACTTCAGATGGGATATGCCCATCACGGAAACTGCAAATTAAGCCACAGAGAACGTACCTGAACGTCAGGATCGGTTTGCATTAGATCGATGCATCGAGCTACAACATGGCTTCCTCCCGGTGCTAAAAGGGATAGAGCGTGACTATGCTCAGCTGACGAGCTGACCAACTGATTCGAAGTTGTTGTGGTCAGCTCCTGCACATCAAAAGATCGCTGTGTAGCAGTTGTCATACTCACGGAGCCCACCTCTGCACACGGGGCATCATTGATAGAGGGACCAGGGCTCCTGGGAGAAGTTATCATGGGAGATTCCCTGTGCACAAAGATTATGAGCTAAACGTTGCATGGAGATACAAAATGTAAAACGGTGAGCTTAAAAATGCCAATCAGATTGCACATACAAAACTACCTCTCTCGTAACAAACACCAGAGTGCGGCACGATTCGATTGATACCCCAGTGCTACGATTTGACAAAAAGAATGCCTATTTGGCAAAGAATCGTTGGAAGAAAAAGGGTAGCACTCACGTTTGAACAAAGGTTGCTTTTAATTCTCGTGCGGCTGCATCAGCCTCCTCCTGAGAAGGCACACCACCAAATGGAGTTAAGTGATCCGCTACAATTACTGGAGTATCTTCCTGACAGAAGTCGTATTCGTCATCGAATATCGATGGAGATGGCTTTGACAGCCGAGATGCATCCCGGTGTCTTGCTGCAGCAGTTGGGTCGACATGCGCAACAGCAGGTGATGACACAGACGCGACAGCAGTTGCCGCCGCTGTCCCTGAAAACATCAAAGTTTCATCACAAGTTTCATAAAGACAATCAGTCAGAAATAGGCACCAAATTATTCTAATACAGTTGCAATTTTTTAGTACAAACCAAAACTAACACTACATCCTGTTAGCAGTTTACGTGCAAAAGACTCGACACCAGAAGATCTCAGAAAAGAACATTTTGAATTAAGAATTCAGCTCCTTCTTGATATCACACCTGCGACCTTTGATATACTGCGCAACATCTTCAAGCCTTCCTCTTAATCCAATGATCTGCGACCAAGATCCTAACAACAATACGATCAGGAGGCAATCCACCACGACCAACACAAACCCTACTGGAACTGTGACATACTCAATGCTACACTAATTAAGCCCAAACTGCAAATTTCTCCCTCAAATATTCAACTCCCACCAAACATTAAAAATAAAATAAAATAAAAAACCCGCAACTTAACACAATGTCCTTGTCACGAAAACCCAAATTAACGTCACCGTCAATCACCTCTCACACTACAATTGCTACAGACTACAAAACTCCAACCAAACTCACTCAATTCCAAGCAATAAACCTGAACCCTACGCAACCCAAAGGCAACGCTCGATCAGGGGAACTCAGGAATGATTGCTGATGCTTACGTGAACAAGTAACGAAAGGGGGATTCTAAGAATTGGGTTCAAGGTAAAACAGTGAACTTGATTCGATCCACAAACAAACCCAGAGTGATTGACGGATGATGGACGCGGAGAAGAGGGAGCTCCGCTTGGGTGGCAGGCTGGCTGGCTACGGCGGTGGAGCCATTTCCAAGAATGGGCGTCGGTGCATGGCTCGTGTAGGTCGCTGCCGGTAAACTGACTGGTCATTCTTCTTCAGTCGTCGTTCAATTCGGATATTTCTAACGTAGGGGTACCTTAAACCGTGTCAGGGCCTTGAACCAACAAGTAGACCTTGTCAGAAAACTAGCTTGTACAAACCCAAAACCGCTTTGAAGAATGTAGAAAGATTCCGAATAGATTCCAAGTCCACCAATGATCGGCAGATTTTACAAGGACGAAGGCGGTGGTTTTGTGCAATGGAGGTGGTGGTTTAGCCTGTTTTCACGGACGGTTTTGTTAATTTTTATCAATTCAACCACTGCGGCGATTCAATTTTTTTCTCTGCAGCACACCAAAACCTTATTTCTCAACCCAATTTTTTTTTTTTTTTTTTTTTTTTTTTTGTCCAAAATAACACCCTCCGAGAAAGCTGAAAAACCTTAAGATTACGGTTTAAGATATTCCTACAAGTAGAGTTGTGTGTTTGTGAGTGTGTGCGAGAGAATAGCACTGAGTCATCCGTTTGAATGCAATGAGGCTACCTGGTTCAGTGAACTCAACAGTGAAGATTTTTCGTCACCGCATCCTCTTGAAAATTGCGGTCACACTAAATCCCACAATTTGCTGACGTGGGACAGTTCCCAAAATAGATGCTTTCACCTTTGTGAGTCCCAGTAAGGATCCCTTGGGAAACAATCTTTCAATCGGGGACGTTCGCATATGGACGGCGGATGTGGCGAGCGGGCCTCGTCACTGTGGGAAAGTATCTCACACAGGATTGGGAGTATTTAATCTTTTGTGGGTGTTCCATGAATTTGGTGCTCGGTGTCGCAGCATTTGCTGAGTCAAATCGAAGGAGCTTTCCGTTGCGGGTTCTGAAAACTCGGAAGCGTTGTTTAGCAGAGACCAAATTCCGGATTATCGAGGAGAAGTCACGATCCTTGAGTTGGGTTTGTGACTCTGTTTTGTGGGCATTTCAGTTGCGAATGCGAGCACCTAGCGATGGAGACCCGAGTGAAAGCATTGTATATATACCCTGTGAAGTCGTGCCGAGGAATTGCCGTTCCTCATGCATCCATTACCCCTACAGGTATCACTCAGTTTAGATATCTTTTTCATTTCCATCTGTGTTATATGTTGTTTTTATTTTTCGCCTTCTGTGAGGATAATTTGCAGCAGGTAATGATGGTGTAGTAAGCATTGAAGTGATGAGGAGTGTCTGGGGCGGCCCTTATCCTTCATTCTGTATGGGGTCGAGGGTTTCGAGCTGCCAGTTAAAGTCCGTCGGATCGGTGAGGTGATCGCCGGTCTGTTATTGTTTCTACTGTGACTGTTTTTCATATCCGAAGGAGTAACGTGTCATCTCGCTGTCACATTTGTTGCTGATCGTAGGATAGCTTGTTCTTTATGCTTTCACTCTTTCTTTGCCTCTCATTCATGGGTTCTCCACTGGATAATTGAGAAGTGCTGGTGAAGATGACCCTATTTTGATATGCGCGTAGTGATTCAGATGGTAGAATCTTTTGTGGGTTGAAAGCTTGTGTCTGTCTGCACGTGTGGTGCTTAATCCTCCTGATTTCTGTTGGTTACAGGATTTAAGTGGGACAGGCAATGGCTGATAGTGAATGCCAATGGGCTTCTCTTGACTCAGAGAGCAGTGAAGAAGCTGGCGTTGGTTGAGGCCATTCTACCTGAAGAGGCTCTAGACTCTCGCTGGGGGTCTATTTCTCCAGATGCAGCTCTTTGTGAGTTTTCCCCCGCTTATGCTTCCTAAATTTCTGACGGCTCAAACTTTATGCTGGAGTAATTTCTCTTCTAATTCGATCATATCGATGTTTGCTATCATAACTTCATGTTCTGGTTAGGAATTACTGCTTTTGCGTTTTATCTCTTGTTTGAAGTGCTCTTGTGCTTTGATTACATATTCATTTCAAACAGATGCTGTTGTGAGGTGTACCAGTAACATTGTGACACTCTGTTCATTTTGCAAGGCTTGAAAGCCCCAGGCATGGAGCCTCTGTATGTTCCACTTGTTCCTCAATACCCTCTGAAAAAAGTAGAGAATATCACATGCTGGGAATGGTCAGGAACTGCATTGTCCGAGGGTGACGAAGCAGCTCAGTGGTTTACCAAGTACTTGGGAAAGCCTTCAAGTCTCGTGCGTTTTGACAACGGTACGAGTCTTTTAGATCTCATGTTTATATCTAATCCTCAGTATACGTTATGTATGTGTTGAGTAATCTGAAGATGTTTGATGACTTTTACAGAAAATGTTACAAGGCCAACAGATCCGGATTTTGCTGTGGGTCATAAGGTTGCATTCAGCGATGGTTTTCCGTTCCTTCTTATATCGCAGGTATATGTTATCCCTCTTATTTTCAAACCATCCACCTTTGTATGAATAACAAAGTAATTACATAATGAGTTAGCTTAGTTCTATACTATTAGAAACTTTGTTTTATTCCTCACGAAGTTACTCTGTTTTGACTCAGGCTTCGTTGGATGCTCTCAATAAGAAACTATCAGTGAGTATTCCGATAGATCGCTTCCGCCCAAAGTACGACAACATCCTCTCCTGACCTTCCCGTGAGTTGAACCATTTTGTGACGAAATTTGCTATTTCTCCTTCATTAACTTGATTTATTAAATGAATCTCGTTTATATTCCAGTGTTTTAGAATTAGCACTCGTTGCTTTTGAAAGTATTGAAGAAACTTGGTTGATAACTTGTCCTCTGAGCTTGCCAACAAGCATGTTAAAAAAATGTTTTCTCTATTGTAAACATTTGGTGCAGTAATGTGATGAATGGTCTAACTTTTCTTGTGGTCCAACTGCTATTACTAATCTTGCCTTGAGCGCTTCTAATGTGTGTCTTATTTGCGTTTCCCTCACGTGTCCATCATGTCTAGTTGATGATCTGACTCGTGTCTGGCAGCATCTTTGTGGACGGTTGTGAGGCTTTTGCCGAAGATGAGTGGGGGGATTTCAAAATTGGCGATTTTCACTTTCATGGGGTGAAGCTATGTGGCCGTTGCACGGTACAGTCATAGAACACAAGCAGCTATGCTTAATTATTTTATTAATTTGACGATCTGTGCCTATGCAAGCCTGCGGTGAAGTTCAGTTATAAAAATCCATCAACTCTAATCTCCTTTGATTTTCATGAAGTGCATTTGCCCAGATGCTTTCATGACGATTATATACGTGATGGCTAAAGCACTTTATGTTTGAATTGTTGACGCCAGTTTCCCTGTATGGTTTGAAGCATTACGAGGAAGTCAAAATCATTGTAGTTCAGTTGTACAAACTTGTTGGAAATTCATACAGGTACCAACTATTAATCAGCAAACAGGTGAAGCGTCGAAGGAGCCTACTCTGACCTTAAGATCTTTCCGCAAAGGCTCGCTTCTACACATCCCTACTATGGAAAACGAGGTAATTATACCTGGCTTCGTGGCTTGTGAATAATATACAAGCATTTGATAGATTAAGCTGTAGTACTTGCTGTATTGTTCCCTGTATTTATTGTGGTTTCTCGTACCTAAAGACATGCCCACCTGCTCACAAGCATACAAGCCTAGAAAATCGATGAAACTGCAGGTTCATCTAAGGGACTTGGAATTTCCAATTTAGTGAGGATCTGCTATAGTCTCAAGGAAGCATGCTCATATTCCTCTAGATTTGAGTTAACTTGTTGCATGCTCTGATAATCATTTTCTACTTTCACAACTTTCGTAATGTATTCGATTGTAGGCAAGTTCAAGCATATTGTGCTGATTATTTTCACAGGCGTGATCAATTGGCTCATTCCGTTTCTTGTTTGGTGGTAGGTATTCTTCGGCCAGAACGTGACGTGTGAAGATGCCGGCTTGCCTGTGTATGGAACTGCTCCTGCGCTGAAGATCGGTGATGTGGTAAAGATTTTGAAAACTGTTTCTATCCTAGAGATCATGTCATAAATCAGACATGTGGTTGTTTCATTTTATTATTTCTCTTAGCATTTTTCTTTGTAAGTGACATCATGGGATGGGATCATTATTCCTGTAACAAATAGTGTTTTTGTGCTTAAGTTTTAACGACGAAAGTTAAGTGATGTTTCTGTATGAACACATTTCATGCAATGTGGAAAACATTAATACCTTAAATAGTGTCCCGGTGTGTAATGTCTCTCGATGAACTATAGCAATGCGGCCATTACTTCATCAATGTCTTTACTATTTTTTATCACGTGTATCAATTATAGGTGCATCATCGCCATCTAAAAACTTCTCTCAAAAACCATACTACTCTCCTGCAGTAGAAGCGAACCTGTGCATGTTAAAGCAACTCATGTTTCAATCAACCTTTTGTTTACCCAGTCCTTTCATCATCAAAGTGCATCGATTTTCGTTGCATCAATACCCATTCCTAAGTTTTACAACATATCTTCCATTCGTCAAATCCACCCCCCATGAACAATCAACCTAAAATTTAAAACTGATCCAGCGTCGAAACATGAACCGTGACCACGATCAATTATCAGACTGACCACCAGACCAACCACCTCCAACAAGATCCAACTCCCTTATAAAGGCTTTCGGTGGAATCCTCTGCTGCAACTCCAGGTGGAGCTTCGTGTGCTGCACAAGGTCGTAAGAAATCCGAATCCCATTCATTGCGACCAACCCACTTCTAACTGTTCTCTGCACTCTCGTCGACAGCCTCGCCCTCATAATCACACTTCTGTAGTGGCATGGTTAACCTGGTCTGTTCTCATTCGATTGCCGCAATTCCCATTTGCTTTCTGACATAATAAGTTCCTCTCATAGTTTTCACTATCTCACAAATGCATGGTGATGATACTCATGGTGACGAAGCTTTCTGTGGAATTTTGAGACTACACTACGTAAACGACTGGGAGATCTGATTCTGAGGGAACAAGGTTTCTGCTCAGTAGCTGCATTCCATTTTTGTGGCCGTTGTTAAGCACTAGTGAGAACTTGGCCGGCTCGATTTCCCTGCATCACACGGTTCTTACAATTGAGGTGGGGTCGTTCGTGTCGCACGTTCCATGGTTGCTCTCATCGGTTGGGTTTGTCCTCTGATGTTTTACAGGGTTACATCTGCAGGTAAGATGTCACACATTTAGTGCATTGTACTTGGAAAACACTGCACGTAACAATCGGAAAGCTTGTAAGGAGGTTCAAGTGCGAGGTTAAGCTTGTGAGAGGAGAAGAGAGTACAGCAATTGTAGTGCCAATGGGAGCGAAGCAAGGATTTCACAAGATGGCGATGAGTCCTGAGCCAATCGGAGCAAAGGCGCCACAGAAGGGGCAATTTTACAAGCGCAAGAGGCTTAAGATATGCTGTGGAGTGTGTTTGACGATTCTGGTGTGCTTTGGGATTGTAGCCGTTGCTCTGAGCCAAACCATTTTCAAGTTTCGCGACCCCACAGTCTCGATAAGCGACATCAAGCTGCTGAATATTTCGGTCCGTTTCGACTTGGCTGCCTTGACGGCGCTCTTGAGTATCTCCATGTCGGCCGACGTGCACGTGAACAACCCAAACCATTACGACTTCAGGTACAATCAAATCACCATGCTGCTGGTATACCACAACGACCAAGTGGGACTTGTGGAGCTCGGCGCTGGCACCATCGCCTCTCGCAAGACTGTCGACATTCCTGCTGTCATCACAGTCGAGGCTGTCAAGCTTCTCCTGAATGGGTTGGAGGATGTAACAAGCGGAGTTGCGAGCTTGAGTCTACATGCTGTAATTCCGGGGCGCATGAACTTGGCCCACATCTGCAAGAGGAACGTAATCGCGGTCTTGGACTGCACCATTGACATCTTCCTGGGCAACCAGACATTGAAGCAGAACAAATGTGATCAAAAAATTAAGCTGTGAATCGATTTCGCTCTTGTAAGAACGTGTCTATACTCATGCTTCAATGTCGGCTCGTCCTCCCCAAACTCAACGTTGTTACGTTGTCTAAACATCGCAATGTCGAGTTGTCGAGAGGAGGCCTGGCATGAATTCCGCTTTATTAGTCAAACGCGAGGATTCCTCAGAGTTCTCAGTTTCCATCAAGCTCTCATTAGCTTCTCCATGCATCAAGTTCTAGGTCTCTCGTTCTTTTGAATAGAGAAAAAGATGCATCCATGCAGCCATGAATTACACAGTCTATGTTTGATAAGTTTGCTTGTAATAGAGTCTCTGTGACATGAAATTGACATAGAAAAACATGTAGGGGACTGGATTGGACATCTCTGGAGGCAGGATTTTCTATAATATACAAAATACTTCTCCAATACCTTCTTCCCAACAGTCCTCACCAGACCACCCTTGGGTTGTGTACATATATTTATGTAGCAATTCAAACGCTCTCCTCCCGCAGGTAATAAGAAACAAGTAACACAGTATTGATTAAAACTTGCTCGCCACAACCTCAGAAAGACAATCCATCGGTGATTTAAGACTTCGTGCTTGATCAATTCCGAAACATTGCACCATGTTTTTCCACTGGAAGCCCCATCACAGCAACTTATCCAACACACACCAGTCTCTCACTTGCTGCACTTTGAATGCCAACCTTACCAAGTCATGCGCAACCCATCGTCCATCAAGTCCATTCATAAAATGCATTGAACAGCTTTCTGCATTTCCATTTAGGTTTATGGAAGTCTTAAACAATTTCTACCAAAAACAGACACTTTATGCATTGAACAGCTTTCTGCATTTCCATTTAGGTTTACGGAAGTCTTACAAAATCTCTACCAAAAACAGACACTTTAAAACCTGGATTGAGCTACTGCTATGAACTCAAACAGCACCAATTTCCAGAATGCAGCAGTTGCAGTTCCATATAACAATCAAAGCTCACTACACATCTGATGATGAGAGCGGTGGAGTGGGTGATACAAATCCAAATGGGGGCATCAGAGGAGTGAGTTTCTCCGGAGGAAGAAGACTGTGAGAAAGCGTTCGGCGAACATTGTTGTGCCGGAGATTAGGGTTAACTTGAAATTACAACCCAATTAGGGTATACTTGGCATGGCATAGTTCAGATTCGGTAACCGAAGATACGAAGTTTTTTTTTTCAATCTCAAGTAGAGGGGAACCGTTATATTCCTCCAATACCAAGAAGTTCTAACTTTGGGTATATCGTTGTGGGTCCTTCATTCCTCCATGTGGTTTGGCATACTCTACAACTATCTCTTTTATGTAAGTCCATCAATTTTATGTATTTTTAAAGTAGTTTTATATGTTTAATTAATGTATAAGTAGGTTTACAAAATAATCAATTAATCAGTATTTATTATTAATATTTTGATGTATTAGCATTGGAATATCTTCATTTTGGATGATAATCCTTATAAATCATATCTTATGATGTTTACAAGCAAAATTCACAAATTTATTTTACTAAATGAAATTATTATCTAAATTGATTCATTATTGAGCTATTATCCAAATTTCAAAAAAAATACTTCATAATTTGGTATTTTTACTAGTTAAATAAAACTTTAGATTTAAAATAATTTAATATTTTTTCATGTTATTATACTAATCAATTTAATTTAACTTATTTTATTATTTGAAATATATTAAATATACTAAGAAATTATTTTTTAAAAAATAGATAATTTAAGATTAAAAATATTTAACTCCAATATAATATTCAATCTAATAACAAAAGGATTCTATTTCAATATTATAAATATAAAAAAATACCTCAATTTTTTATTTATTATTTAAATTTTAAAATTTTATTTTTGAATGTAAATTAAACGATAAAGACTTAGTCAAAAGATTTGAATATATATTAAAATTTTATAAATCTTTCCAATAAAACTAAAAGATAAAAGATACAACAATAATCACATCAATTTCATAAAAATACAAGTAAATTATAAAATAGAAGAAATATAAAAATAATTATAAAATCTCAAATATGAAAATTTCATAAAATATTTAAAACCCTAAAATCCAAGCTTATGTTAAGTTTTCAAGATCATTAAGAAAAACATTTAAGAAGAAAATATACATATGGATTAGAAAAATTAATAGAATTTAAAATTTATTCATTAGTTTATGTCTTATTGTTGAAATGATCAATGTAAAGAAATTTGAACTTGACTTAGTAAGAAAATATTAAAAAATAATGAAGTGCATATGTAGAAAGGTAGAACAAAAAAACTATAAGACTAAAATATTTAATTAATAAAATAAAGACTACAAGAAAAAAAAAACATATTATGGTTTCTATCATATATATATATATATATATATACACAAAAAAGTATAAAAATACTTATCTCTTTATAATTAATTAGTATGTGAAATTTCTAATATAAGATTATAATAGAAGTTATAATTTTACTAACAAATTTTATACTATTTTAATAAAAAAATAAAAATATTATATAATAAAATTTATTTTAAATTTTAAAAATTATATGTATTATAGTAAAAAAATCAAAATTTGATTTTTGTATGTATGAAGGATAAAAGATGACATTCTATCTAAGTCTTATGCATGTATCAATAAGTATAAAAATATAAAATATGAATAATGACTAATTATTATTCAAACTTTTGAAGTTATTTGCAAGCATGGAATATGATCTTATGAGACTAAATTCAATATATACAATCATAAAAAAAAAAACAAAGATTAATTTACTCCTATAGTTGTTCAAGATGTAAAAATGGATGATAGTGCATTAGATATTCAACATTCTTTTGTCACTATTGAGTTGGCCTGGGTTATGATAGATGTATCTTCATCTTCCTTCATTAGTAGGAATATATTTTTTCTACTTACTATTCTTATTCTTTATACCGTGCCTTTGAACTATATTTGCAACTCTTTGATTATGGATGTTGATGTTACTTGAGTCTTTGAGAGCATGGTGTTGTCGGCTTGCAATTCTTTTATTCAAATTTCGGTGATATTCTTCAAGGCTTCAAAGATCACTTGTTTCTGTCATACCACTTGAATTTCGTTATGCAACTCTTGTAACTTACTCTCTACAATGATACAATCGTACTTGATTTTGTAGCAAATATATTTTTACTTCCATTAAGTGTACCATCCATGATTTTTCATTCTATTTCAAACAACTTATAAAATCCATAAGTCAAATTAAAAGAGGATAATTTGCAACTTCTAATATCAAACAAAAATTTCTATAAAGAAGGATAATTTTCTCTCTTTAAGGAAAAAATCAATGTTAAAAAACTAAGTAATTTGTTTAAAGGTGAGTAATTCAAAACCTTCAAAACATACTAATAGAAGTGGGATAATCCACTCACTTCTAAAATAAGACAAAAATAATGAGTTAATACTCTTGTCAAACTATCAAGGACATGAATCTTAAAGGAAGAAATTTTCAATACACTCTTGTGTTACTTAAAAGAATTAGAAATCATTCAAAGATGATATAATATTAAATTAGAATGGCTATTACAAAAGACAAGAAGATTAGAATGTCTTAAAATAAGACTAATGACTAGAAAGGCATTCACAAGAGTGAAGAAGGCTTCACTCTTACCTCCATATATACTATCTAACTAAAAGCTATATGGCAATATTCTATAGGACCTTCAAAACATGTTGACTTTAGAAGATACATATCTTAACTTGTAAAGCAATTTTTTTACATATGCACTACATAGTTAACTTGTTCCATAAGCTATCAATACATAGTTAAATTATTGACTAAGTTTCTAACCTATTAATCAACTATAAATACATGTAAAGTCAAAGTAGTATCTATGAAGCTTTTAGGAGGTTTTTTAAAAAAATATTATAAAATAAATCTATTTTTATGTACTTCTATTTAAGTATATAAGTAAATATTAGAGTAAATATATTTATCCATAATAATATCTTAGATATTAATGGATGTTGAATTCATTCAATTATAATTGATTCATCTATATTTATAATATTATGTTAAGCTTGTAATATTTATGGATTGTATTTTGGATGTAGTCTTCTTATTGCTATGACCTCATGATTTTTCTATTAGCCAATGAGACCAACTTCTGCATTATGTAGCCTAAGATTTTGTGTTACAACCAAATTTTTTGGCTACTATTTTTTAAACCATTTTGCTTAGATTTATGGTTCTATAAGTCAATCACAATAGTATAGACATCACCTTCGGCATGAGGTTTCTTTTGTTTAGATTCTTTATTGTCATACTCTTGTATATACTTACTCTTAGTATCTTCTTTGTTTTTTCTTTGGATGTCTTTAATCAATCTCTTGGATGATATATGTCTAAACTTGGCAATATAATATCAATACTTGATTGTATACATTGAAAAATAAATAAATAAATAAATAAATAAATAAATCAATCAATCAATAGTAGTACAAGAATGTTGGTCTTTTTCAAGAAATCTCAATTCCTATGTAATAGGTGTTGTTGATGATTGTGCCCTAGTTGATTGTCTTTCCATCTTTTGCTAGAAGATTAACATCTATTATGATGTTCAAAATAATGTTGACTTATTTATAAAAAAATATCAAAAAAAAAACATGCTACAAATGTGTATATATTTTTTAATGTTGCATCAGATCTTCATATTATGTATATTATATATACCAACTACATGGATTTTATTACTAATAATATTGCCATGATTGGAATTTAGCTGCTTATAACTAGATTTATAGCTAGTGACTCCATAGAAGTTAAATTCAAATATCACCTTGAAATAGGTGATATTCTATATGATCACTTAACCCACAATTATGCCAAAGCACTAGTTGTTTGAGGTTTATACCATGCCATGCTTTGTACAAATTCTTTGTACAAATTTTCATTCAAGGCAAAAGAGAGCTAACAATAGTAATTTCCTAAACCTATATTATTGGTCCACTCATTGCCTTAAATGTCAATATATGTGTATATCTCACATGTATGGAAGAATTATTCATAGGAGTGGGGTGCTATTACTTTAGAAGAAGGAAACATTAGAAAGAGAAACAAAAAAAATAAGAAGGCAAAAGAACAAGAAGATGTGAGCTTAAGATAATAAGACAAATGGATTTTGAGATGAAAAATTGTTATTGCAAGGTATTTGTATAAAGATCCATACTAATGTGAAGGCTTTCAAATGCCATCATATTGGCCACCATTTTTATCATTGATAAAAAGGGTTGCTTTATAATTATATTTTTTAAATGATGAGGTAGTAATATAGATAACTACAATCTTAAAGAAATATATTAGATTCAATTTAGAATTGGGATTGTGTGATGATTCTAAGTTCTCATTGTTCTTGAAGATTTGATTAAAATCTTTGAAGGAAATAGTCTGTGACCATGTAGGACTTGAGCTTGTAAATTTGTATTCAAAAAGCTTATTTGTGTTTAAAATAATATGATATAGATTGTAATTGTCTTCATTGATCAATAGAATTATATTATTGGGCAATGCAAGTTGAATTCTATACAGTCCATGCCATAGTGCATCAAATTTGGTATTACAAATTTTCAGGTCTTTGGAGTATCAAATGACCATATTACCTCGATTAAATTAACAAGGTTTGTATGTCTTTTGATAAGTGGCTCATATTTTTTTCAAACTATGCATGATTTTGGTCAAAGTATCATTACATAATTTGTCTATTCTTTTAAGATCTTTCATATTTTTTATGAATATTTTAATAGTTGAATCTTTCAAAGGTATCAGTTTATCAAATATAGACATAGTGTATCTTATGGACAGTAGGAGCTAAATACCAAATATAATTTCAAATAAAGAATAAACCATTACGATTTTGTAAACTATGCAATGAGCTCAATAGGCAATCAATAAATATTCATCCTGGTTAGTCTTATTCTCATGTATAAAGCAACATAACATATTTATAATCGTTTTATAAGCTGATTTGGTAAGGCCATTACTTTGAAGATAGTAGGTTGTGGATATGCAATGCTTAATGATAAATGTGTCTATAAGTTATTAAATTATCTTATTTATAAAATATAT